TAATTCATGGTGTCATTCTCCTGGATAACAGCATTTCTGTGCTAATGTAAGCACATACTTACATATGGCTTGCATTAATAATGAAGTGATACTTGGCCACAATAAAAACATATGCCTAGTGCTGTCATAGCAAGTTCAATCAATAAACCTTGAGATACTCATCATTAGGTAAATTAAATGACCTCAGTCCTTTGCAACTGGACTAGTTCTGTAAGATGATTTATTTAAAATACACATTGTATTAGCCTGAAGCTTATGGAAATTGAAGAGTCTATAATTTCTATGGAATTGCATTAAATGCTAGGTACAAGGTTATTGTCTACACATACTACCAGTACTAAAAACCTCTTGGGGCCAGAAAAAGGGTTCAGTTGGTAATGTTTCTTATGCAAGTATGAGGACCTGAGGTCAGATCCACAGCGTGTAGATAAAAGCCAGGGATTATGGCATGCGCCTGTAATCCCAGAGCTGAGAAGACCAGGAAGATCCCCGCAACCTGCTGGTCAGGCAGTCTAACTGAATTGGGGAGCTCCAGGTTCAGTGAGAGACCCTGTCTCAAAGAAACAGAGGAAAGAAAGATCGAGAAAGACACCTGACATTAAACTTCATTCTCCCCAATTATGCATGCACACTTACACACGCACCTACACATACAGCCTTATAAACACACACAAACAAAACATCAAATATTTACTGATCATTCAGTATATGCGCGTGCTATGCTAAATGCTTTATAATGATAGATGTGATTATCAAAAGAAGCTTGTCATGTCAATGTTATCATATTCTCATCCTACAGATGATGCAGTTATGGCACAGAAAAGGTAATTTGGCACCAAACAACTGAGCTGAGCTTATACGTAGTGTTATTAGTGTCCTTGCATTTCTACCCTTCTTCAACAGAAACTGATCTGCCTTAGTTTGATTTCACTCTTTTTCCAATGAAATTGCTTTTACAATTGAGCCCAGGTCCTCTGCAAAGCAACAAATACTCCTAACCACTGAGCCATCTCTCCAGGCCCGTCATCAGCCTTTTGCCATAGTTATTGGAGCAGAGATATCCCACTGAATACTCTTGCATATACCTTTGCCTTCTTCTAATCTACCTTTTATTCTAAAGGCGAGGTAATTAAAAAAAAAAAACTTTTAATGTATGTTATTTTTGAGATAGACTATCATGTAACCCAGATTGGCATTGAAATTGCTGACCTTGTAGCTGAGGATGACTTTGAACTTCTGATCTTTCTGCTTCCACCTCCTGAGCTTTGGGATTGCAGGTATAAAGCATCCTATTCAGTTTAGGTGCTACTGAGGATCAAACCCAGGGATTTTTGTACATGCTACAGGCAAGCACTCTATGAACTGGCTGCATCCTCAGCTCATGAAAACAGGGTGATCTTTAAAGATCTTATTTTTATTAATTAAGTGTACATGTATGTTTGTACATATAAGTGCATTTCTCCCTTGGAGGTCAGAAGAAGACGTCAGACCTCTAGAAACAGGAGTTGTACCGAGAATAAGGATGGGTGCTGGGAACTCCAATCTTCTTAAAGAACAGCAAGTGTTCTTACCCTCTGAGCTTTATCTCTCCAGCCCCTGGGTAAATTTTTTCTTTTGAGACAAGGTTTCTCTCTGCTGTCCGTGCTGTCCTGAAACTTACTTCGAAGATCAGCATGGCCTTGAACTCAGAGAAGTGCCTGCCCCCGCCTCCCGAGTGCTGGGATTAAGGGCGTGCACCACAAAGACCCAAAGAGATTTCTTTCTTTCTTCTTTTCTTTCTTTCTTTTGTTTTGTTTTGTTTTGTTTTGTTTTGCAAGACAGGGTTTCTCTGTGAAACAGTCCTGCCTGTCCTGGAACTCACTCTGTAGACCAGGCCATCCTGGAACCATCCGCTTCTGCCTCCCAACTACTGGGATTAAAGGCACCCGGCCCAAAATGATTTTTCAAAACTGAAAATTTGTTAATAGCAACCACTGCCTTAGAACTCTTTAGTGACTTCTCATTGAGCATAAAATAAGACACAGAATCTTTGGTATGACCTGAATGCAACAAAAAGGTCCTGTATTGTTGCACTGTTGGTTGGTTGGTTGGTTGGTTGGTTTTATGTTTTTAAGACAAAATCTTACAGTGTAGTTTAGTCTGGCCTTGCTCTAGAGCCCAGTCTGCCCTTAAACTCCCAATCTCCCTACTGTGACTTCCCAAGAGCTGGAATTACAGGTATTTGCCACCACACCTCAGTCTATTAGATCCTGCACGAGTGTACTGGTCGCATGACTTCCCAAGAGCTGGAATTACAGGCATGTGCTACCGCAGCTCAGTCTATTAGATCCTGTACTAGTCTACTGGTCACGTGACTTCCCACCTTTATACTGCGAGCTACCTAGTACTCCTTTCAAATAAGCGCATACTTTATTTTCTCCACATTCTATTTCTTTTTTTCCTCCCAGCTCATCAAATATGCTATTTTCTTTTTTGAAATTAAAATATTTAATGTTTTTGAAATTAAAGTGTAATTACATTGTTTTCCTCTTCCCCTTCCTCTCTCCAACCCTTCCCATGCACTCCCATGCTCTCTCTCAAATTCATGGTCTCTATTTCTTTAATGATTGCTTATTTATTAATTTATTATTTGTGCGGGAGTATGTGTATGCCATTGCACATGAGTCAAAGGAAACTTTCAGGAGCCAGTTCTGCCCTTCCTCCATACATGTTCTAGGATCTGAACTCTCAGTCAGACACTGGAGGCAAGGAGAGTAGGGGAGTAGAGAGGGAGCAGAGTAGGAAGGGAGGGGAGGGAGGAGAATGAAAGGAGGTAGGAGGGAAGAAGGAGGGTGAGGGGGCAGGAAGTAGTGGGAGGAAGAGAGGAAGGGGAAGAGGGAAGGAAAGCAAAGGAGGCGGAGAGGAAGGAGAGGGAAAGGGTGTGGTAAGGAAAGGGAAAGGAAGAGGCATTAAGGAGAAAAGGGGGAGTGAAAAAAGATGATGGGGAGGAGAGAGGGAGAGGGGGGATAAAGTGGGAACAAGAGCGGAAGAGAGCGTGAGGAGAAAATGGGAGGATGGAGAAGAAGAGAAAAAGGATGGAGAAGGAGAGGAAAGGAATGGAAAGGAGAAGAATGGAAAGGGTAGGGAAGAGGAGGGGAGGAGGGGAGAAAGGAGAGGGTGGGGCTAAAGAAGGCCGGGAGAGGGGAAGGGCTTGAGGAAGTAGGAGAGGAGGGGAGGAGGATATAGGAAGAAGAGGGAAGTGGGAGGGGGAGAGGGACCAGGTGACTGTGAGGGGAGTGGGAGGGTCAGGAAAGGAGGAGGAGGAGAGGTGGAAGAAAAGGGGGAGGGGATGAGGAATGGGGCAGAAAGAGAGGAGGGAGAAAGAAGGAGATAGATGGGAAAGGGAAGAGGGAAGGAAGACAGAGGCGGAAAGGGGAGTGGGAGAAAGGAGAGGGGAGGTGGAAGAGAGAACGGGGAAGAGGTTAGGGAGAGGGAAGAATGAGGGCAAGGAGATAGGAGAGAATGAAGAAGGATGAAAAGGGGGAGGTTGTAGAAGATAGGGGAGGGGAGAAGAATTGGGGAGCTGGGAAGGGGGTGGAGAAGGGGAGAGGAAGGAGGGGAGGAGGATGGAGAGACAGGAGGGGGAGGAGCTGGGAGGAGGGGAGCAGAGAAGGAGTAGAGGAGGGAGGGGAAAGAGGAGAGGAAGGGCAAGAGGGGAGGTTGAAGAGTAGGTAGGAAGGGAGGGAGAGCGAGAGGAAGAAAAGTGAGTGGGGATGAGAAGGGGAGGATGGGAAGTGGGGAGAAGGAGAGGATGTAGGGAAGAGAATCTGAGGGAGCTAGAGCCGGAAGAAAGGAGCAGTGGTAAGAGGAAAAGAGGGGTAGGAAAGAGGAGGGAGCAAGGAAAAGGAGGTAAGGGAAGAGGGGGTGTGGAGGGAAGAAGTGGAGGAAGAGGAGGCACTGGGGAGGGAAGGTGAGTTAGGGGTCTAGGAGAAGGAAAGAAGGATCAAAATATATAGCTTCCCAATGTTTTATGAGGCTAGCATTACCCAGATCCTCAAGCCAGTAAAAATATCACAAGACAACTGTAGACTAACGCCAAAAGATTTATCCCAGGAATCTGAAGGTGATTCAACATAAGAAAATCTGCATAATACACCCTATTAATAGAACAAAAGGGAAGAACACACAATTATTTCAAATGATACAGAAAAAGTACTACAACAATTCAAACAGGTAGGAGTAGATGGGAGCCTCCTTAGCATGACAAAGGCCCCTCATAGATTAGTCAATGGTGGGAGCCTTGAAAAGCCGCCCACCCTTCTAGCAGCAAGACAAAGGCGTGTGCTTGTTGAAACTAGAGAGGTGGTGATTCAAACTCGGTCTGAAAGCCGAGTGCTGCTCAGAGCATCCTTAAAATAGTTCATTGAATGTTGTGTGAGCAACAATTTACATCACCTAAAAAATTTTTCTTATGATGAATCATTTATTCTTTTGACTTACTGACCTATAGGACTCTTTTCTATTTTCCTAGCTTTAATTAGCAGAAACGGAGCTTATAATTTAGAGATTGCCGGGTAACACTATGAATAGGAAATTCTAACTATGATTCCAGATGAATGGGAGATGAACGTTTAACTAAAAGGGGCTGCAAACTACTTTTAGGAAAGCCTGAGAAGGGAATGGAAACTCGATGACTTTACATATGAGAACATAACTTCGTCTTCAATTCATCAGGGATTTAAAAGCTAATTCGGTTGCAGCTGCAGCAAAGTAATCAGAACAGCGCTGGGTGTGTTTGTTTTCTGTTGGCAATGTTTAGAGAAGCTGTTTCCCAAAGCCAGGACGTTCTAGAAATGCACATTCTCAGGCTCCGTCCCAGACCTTGTGAGTCAGAAACCCTGAGAAGAGAGACCTAGCCGTGTTTTAACAAGCCATCCATGCTCCACACTCAAGTCTGAGGGCCACCAAGGAGACGAAGAAGCGTGTCTCCCACAGGGATGGCCCAGGAAGCATTTTCTTACCAAAGCACGGAGATTCAGAAATGGTGAGCTGTTCCTTCTCATTCTTAAGTTGTCCACTTGGAATCCCCGTGAGTTATCACTAAGACAAAAGAAAACATGTGCCTTATAAAATCCATTACCAACTCTTCAAAGAAATACAACTTATGGTTAAAGAGGAACACTGAGCGCAAATGGTGGCGACATCTGTGTGGATGTTTACACACACACACACATACACAAAGAGAGAGAGAGAGAGAGACAGAGACAGAGACAGAGACAGAGACAGAGACAGAGAGACAGAGACAGACAGAGAGAGACAGAGAGGCTTACTCATCCAAGCTTAAACAAGTTTCATTGTAAGGTAAGAAATTCTCAGATACGCCATTTTATCCCTAAGTGTTCTCCTGAAAATAAGCATAATTTTCTGTAACCTTGGAAATACACCGCTTTTTTGTGTAAACCTGTAACTTATTTAATTTTAGGGTCGGAGCTATAATGTACAAGCACAAATTCTCAATGGCTGAACTGTTACATAAAGAACCACAACCAACAGCAGGGCTCAAAGAAACAGATGTCGGCAGGTCAGCATTGCCCTGCCCTGTTAAAATGGTTTTGAATTCATTGTGTACTCTAAAGAGGTTTCACATCTTTTTTTTTTTTAAAAAAAAATCAAACTCAGTATTTCCAGCTTCAGTTAAAAATTTGCAAGTTTGTGCAACACTGGACCACATTCCCACACCATAAACAAGGGCAGCCAACCACCACGCACTAAAAATGGCATCTGTGTTCCCAGCTTGACAGTTGTCTACATAGGCGATCTCAGTCCTAGTCACCTTATCACCCAGAAGAAGCCATCTTTTACTTTTTATGTTTCTTTTTATCATAATTTCTCAGTTTAACTCCCAAGAAGTCACAGAAAGAATACAAAACGATTCCCGTGTATCATTTATTCAGCTCTCTCTACCGACTCAAAGAAATCATCTTTAGCCAGGAGTGGTGTACATGTCTATAATCCCAGCACTTGGGAAACTGAGGCAGGAGAACCAGGAATTCAATGCCAGTCTTAGCTACGGAGTGAATTTGAGGCTAGCCCCTAGGCTATATGAAACCTTGTCTCCCTCTCTCTCTCTCTCTCTCTCTCTCTCTCTCTCTCTCTCTCTCTCAAAAAGAAACATTTCCAACACCTTCTTGCTGCTTATATCCAATCAAGCGCCAGTCATTTAGGCTGTACCCCCTACACTCTATTTTCTGTCCATCTTCTTTTTAGGATCGTTGCCAAAAACCACTTCAAAGCATTTTTCCTTATACACAAACTGCACAATAGTCTCTTTGGCCTCCTCACCTCTGTTCTTTCCCTATTTCAAGCTATTTAGCAGACTGCCGGGGTCACCTTCCTAAAGAACAGCTTGCTCTCTAGCTCACAATTTTCAGAGGCTATTATCTGCCACATTCAGGGCGTTATTATGACATTCAAAGCCCTCCGCAGTCTGGCTACAGACTTTTGGGTTTCAGGGACTAAGAAAATTTTAGAACGAAATCTAGACACAAACATAGCTTCTCTGGTTTTCTTTTGTCCAGTATAGCACAGTGAAGTGAGCAGAGTTCACAGCAACCTAGCCTGTACTTTAGAGCCAGACAAGAGGGGAACTTACGGGCTACAGACACAAAGCCGGTGAGACTTGGAAACACTGCTACTCTTATGTGATCGGTATACATTACATACATATATTGAAATATACAGAGTGACAAATGTAAGTATTGGTGTTAATCTGAACTTTATAAAGCTGTAAGGAAATTGGATTAGCAGCCACCTTAATTGGATTATGAAACATCATCCATATGTATTGAATGAGATTGCTGTACCCCACAATTGTGTAAATTAATAGTTCATTTTAAATACGATTGCTGACCACTATCATTCATTTTATCTATTATTTTACTGTGATGGTGGGGAGTGGAGCCAGTGCCCAGTATGTGGTAGCTCGACCATTGAACTATATTCTCAGCCCTCCTTTGACTCACTGTTACCTAGGTCGGTCTGAATTTCGTCTCACAGCTTAGGTAGGACATGAACTTGAAATTCTCCTGCCTCGGTCTTCTACATAGCTAAGAGTAATAGGCCACCAGGCCCATTGGATATTTTACTTGCGAAAAGGTCGCATGTTATGTGAGGGACAAAGAACCCTAGAGTACAAAACAGTCCTGCCTGGGAAGGAACAATTGGCAACTGCCTTATAGATTTAAGTATGTCGAAGTTTCAACTAAAAATAGATTAGTGGGAGGAAAAGACCTTTGCTTAAGATCAACAGATCATTAGAGGAGCAGGCAAACATTTAAAGCCAGCGCTACACACAGATTTGACCGTTCAGCTGTCTACATAAACCTATGCTTGTCTATTTCCAGGCTTATTCCGTATACTTGAAATGCTACCTAAGCTCTTCATTCCTATATTTTCTTTGCCTCCTTTAATTTTGGTTTGTTTCAGGTAGGGTCCTATGAAGTTGAGGCCTGTCTCCACCTCTTTGTGTAGCCAAGGTTGACTTCGAACCCCTGATTGTCCTGCATTCACCTCCCAAGTTTCGGAGTGCTAAGATTATAGTTTGCATAATACCCAGCTGACTTCTCCTTCCTCCTCCTCTTTCTGTACTTGTGTGCATTCCCATTCTCTCTCTCTCTCTCTCCCACATACACCACATACACACCTGTGTGTTGATCTTTAAAAACAGTCTCTCACTATGTAACCAAAGCTGGCCTTGAGCTCACTGAACTCTGGAACTCCACTTCCAGAATGCTAGGATTACAGGCATGGGCCACCACACGTAGCTGTCCTCTAACTTGGAACAAAGCAGAGGCAATATAACTGGATCATGTTCACATGTCCCATATCAAATGTCAGTATACAACTTATCTAAGCAACAGTAGCTCTGTGTTAATTATTCCTGAAACAATCCCTTAGTAGGATGAGTACTATTCTTCTAGGTTAGTAAGAATTCAATAAACTAGGTAGTGGATAAACATTGAAAGCACCACACAGTAAATATTAAGGCTTTGGGGACATAAAAATTCTCTTCTATGTCACTGTAGAATGAAGCCAGAGGGCTGTAGAGGGGGAAGTCATTGGCAGGGAGTCCAAAATACTTAATATTTAAAGGTTTTGTTTTGTTTGTGTGAGTAGGGCCTCACTATATAGACCTGGCTGACATCAAAATTGCTATGTAGTCCAGGCTGGCCTTGAACTCACAGCAACTCTTTTGACTCGGCCTGCTACATCCTGTGATTACAGGAAGATGGCATCTGGTTAAGCAAAGGTTTCTGTATATGTTTGTCTGTGTGTGGTGATGGGGATCGATCCCAAGGTCCCATACATGCTAGGGAAACAGTTTACCAGAGAGTTACACCCCTATCTCAATTTCTAATCATTTAAAGAAAGGCCAGAAGAAAAAACAATTAAAACCTTCAGAGCTAGTTCCAGGACAGGCTCCAAAGCTACAGAGAAAACCTGTGTCAAAAAAAACCCTTATTTTTAAATATAGTATTAAAAACTACCTTAAATATAGTGAAGTGCTTAGTCTTACTTCAACTTGATATGCCATGTTTTGTTAATTTGATACTCATGGGAGACCTGCCCTTTCCTGAACAGAAAGGAAGGAGTGGATTGGGGGATGGGAATAGAGGGGATGGGGGAGAGACTGAGAGGAGAGGTGGAAGGGGAAACTGTAACTGGGTTATAAATTAATTTTAAAAAAAAAACTATCTTAAATATAGTATTTCTATTATATACTTTGAATGTAGTATTGACGCTAGGTGTGGTAGCGCATGCCTCTAATCACAACACTTAGGAGGTGGAGGCAAGAGATTACCAGTTGGAACACAGCCTGTTCTATAAGACTCTGTCAAAAGTTTTGACATTGGCTGTTAAGTGAATGAACTGGAGACTGAGAGTATAAAGAACTCATGATGATCCTTCGGTCCCAGTCTTCAGGGGCCAGGATTATGAGCCTGAACCACCACACTCAGCTGTCCACACCTTTGACATAACACGGGAATCACGTGTGACATGCCTGAAGTCAGAGACCTGCCTATGTGAGGGCTTGTTTTCGTTTATAGCATATTGAGTGAGTTAGGGTGCAGTCAGAGACTTGCTCAGAAGGGAGAATTGGTCTAAAGTACGATTACACTGACCCTTAGTCAAATTCATTCCCCTCTCGTATTCCCAGTTCATATGCACCACGCTCCCTTACTCAGGCCTCAAATTCCTAGTGTCCTTCTGCTTTCCAGGCTATGCATAGCAGTGAACGACTCTATCTACAGCTTGCCAAACACATGTTTGTCAAGTGATTTTCTCATTTGGCATCAAATTCCATGTGTAGAAAAGTCCATTCTCTTGCAGCCTTACTTACAGAAGGGAATTTCCTAAATGTGAACTCTTCAAAACAGTATTACTGTCAAGGTCGTGGGCTGAGGCTATGGTTCACTGGTACTGAGCTTTCCTAGTATGTTTGAGGTTCTAGGTTCGATTCCTGAGAATCTCAAAACAAACAAATCAAAATACCCTGTTGTGCTTTATGTGCATCATGTATTAGTAAAAGTGCCAATGTCAAAAGTTTTGATGAGGTGAAATGATGAGAGCCAGGTTCAGTGAGAGGCCCTGCTTCAAAAGCGTGGAGTGAATAGAGGAAGATACCAACACTGACACGCGAAAGAATGATAGAGATACGCTATTTCTCCAGAGTCTCCTCTTTGTTCACAGGACTAAAGGGTTTTATTTAATATTAATATGCAATTAGAGATAAACTTCATAGCTTTAATGCATAAAGTAACATTTATACAGAAAATTGAAAGTTTATGGTAATTTATCTGGGAGGCACAAAAGAAACAAAGCTTACCATTTAAGCTAGTCTGGCTGGCTGGCTAACAAGTCCCTGCAATCTCCCTGTCTGTGGACCCCAAGTGCTAGAGTTGCGGGTCTTTACTGCCGTGCCTGGCTTTAACTGTGGACTCTGGGGATCTGAACTCAGAACTTCATGCTTGCGTGTCAAGCAATGTACCCACCGAACTACCTTTCCAGCCCCCAGAGAAAAGTGTGATGTCACTGTGGTGGTTTGAGTGAGAACGGCCCCACTGGCTCTTATGTGTGAACACTTGGTCCCCATTTGGTGGAATTGTTTGGGGAGAATTAAGAGGTGTGGCTTTGTTGAAAGAGGTGTGCTACTGGGGGCGGGGATACAGTTTTGAAGTTTCAAGACTGAAGTCATTCCCAGTATGGCTCTTTCATTCTGCTTTCTGGTTGTGTCTCAAGATGTGAGCTCTCAGCTCTGCTCCAGTGACATGCTTGCCTGCCTGCAATGATCCCAAACTCTAAGCCTCTGAAACCATCAGCTCCAAATTAAATATTTCTTTTCTAAGTTTCCTTGGTCACGGTGCTTTTTCCACAGCAATAAGAAATAAGTAAGACAACCACCTATATATTACTTATCTGCCCATATATCATATGTGCTTTGCACAAAAAAGTAAAATACACGTCTCAACCAATTATTTCCTCTTTTATGGCTAGGGATATTACCCACTGAGCATGCATAAACAAGATATATCTCCAAATGTATTTGCTTGACAACTATTTCCATCTTCCGTGTGCAGGAGACAAAGGCCAAACAAAGGGGGAGAAGACAGCTGGGAAAGTGAAAAGGCAATAGTCATAACACATCTGGAGGCACAGGTGGAGGGATGTTCAGCTTCTTCAAAGGAGTGGCTACGAGAAAAAGTGAAATTACAAAAATGTCATGTTCCACACCAACTGGTGGCGCTAACTGGGTCCAAGCAGACCTGTCAGAAGAGAATGTTCAGGTTCAGGTATGTGTTAAGCTGAGATGGGATAGAGTGGGGTGAATGTTGTCCATCGGTTTGGCTCATCCACTCCTTCTTCTCCACTAGGCTGAGGTGGAGTCTAGACACCAAAAATATGGAAGATGCCTATAAGACCTCGATAAATAAAAACAAGGAAATTCTACCAGGTGTCATTTTGTCCAACACCCCCTTTTTGCCATCAGGTATGTCTACCCTGCTCACCCGAATCCATTGCTCAATGGGATACTGCCGGATCTTCTAAAGAGGCTGGCATCTATCGTGGTGGGATCTGGTGGCAGACCTAAATCCACTTCCATTTTCTCCTTTGCCACATCAGTGTTGAGGACAAAGCCACTACTTAGTTGGAAATTTTGAAGGGTGTCTGGCTCTTGTTGATTGAAGAACACATCGCTGTCTTGGTCCATAGACACTGTAAGGAGAAATGCAAATGGGGGAAGGGGAGAGAGCCCTTAGATGAGTAGAGGCACTCAGCTTTAAGCCCTAATGTCCCTAACACTGTGAACATAAACCTGGGCAGGACTGGCCTCAAACCTTCTAGTCCCCACTTGGACCCCTAATTGCTGATGCAAACGGCTCAGTGAATTCTCCTCTCTTATTTTTCTAATCCATGGCAACAAGGAACTGTCAAAACAAAAACTATAGATTAACCATCCTGAGAAAACAAGGGCAGTTACACCTCCACCAGCTTCTTTTGTCCAGCCAAACAATGCACAGTAACTAAGCAAGCAATTAGCATCCTTTATGACTCCAGCCAGACTCAGGAGCAGCAGTGGCGTGCATGTGCCGTACAGGAACAGCCTTCCCACGGCTCTCCTTTCCCCTGTGCTCACCAGGAAGGGTGCTGTGCTAAAGGGTATTTATCTGCTCCTATGCTGACTATGCCACTCAGGAAAGAAGCGAAAGGAGTCAGTTATTTAGGAAGACTTTGCCTTCTGCCCTATATTTCAGTTTTCCCGGGACTGGCCTGTCTTCTTTTATGACTAAAAGCAACAAGCTTGCTTAAGGGCATGTATGTTTCCTATAACAGCAGTCAAACTACACCCTTGTAACTGAAAAACACAATGAAAGTTCGAATGGGGGGTGGGGGTGGGAAGAGCAAAACGCTGTGTTTATGATTTTGGCTTTGATAAATCACTTTCGCAACTGAAGCAAATGTGCAGATAAAACATCATTTTCAACTTTTTTATGATAATCCTATATGAATATTTACAGTGCATTGAATCTGACTATTAGTCCAAGTCCTCAGCGGTTGTACAGACATAACAGTAAAGTTTATTTTTTAAAGCAAGCATCTCAGAATACATCCAAATCAATGTTTCTGCTATTGGTAGTATTGGTGCTTATACTCCTTTTAACGTCGATTCTACTTTACCTCTGCTTCCGCAGCTCACAACACGTAACTTCTCATTTAGAATTTTTTAGTACCATTTAAAGAGCCCTCCTCAGGGCTAAAACCTTAACTTCATGCTAATAATATTGGAGGTTTTGTTTGTTTGTTAGTTTTTTTTTTTATTTATGAGACAAGGTCTCGTGCTGTAGCCCAAGCTTACCTGCGACTTACCCTGTAGCACAGGCTAGCCTTGATCTTGTAGCAATCCAACTACCTTAGCCTCTTGAATGTTTAGCAGCATGAGCCACCATGCCCTCGTTTGATTTTGTGTTTGCCTGTGTGTGCTTTTGTGTGTGTGGAGGGGTAAGGAGTACTGGGGATTGGACCTAGAGCATGGTGCATGCTGGGCAAATGCCTCACTGCCTGGCTATAACTTCAGCATGTTAGTAATAGTGTGAAGCTACAATTTTAGGAAACATATAGAATTGGTAGAAAAATGTAAATTAACCTAGTGAAATGGGATTTTTAAAATTAAAATAGCTCTAATATTCAAATATCACTTTGGAGTTTACAAAATGTTTTCACATGTCTCAATTGGCTCAATCAACAGCCTTGTTCAGCTCATCAGTGGTGAGCTTAAACTAATGGAATTGTCTTGAGATAGTTTGTGAAAAGTTATGACATGTAAGATCATAATCACTTATTTTTCATTCATTCTGGGAATAGAATAAGAAAAACTTGATTATGCTGCCAGAATTAAATTATCTAAATCCCAGACATGAGGATGATTTGGAGTCTCCATTCCTGATGTAAGACAGGTTAATAATAGCTCCCATTTATTGGGCACTTATGTGCCTGGTACTATTCTAACCACTTTAAATATGTGATCACATTTAAAGCTTACAATAATTCTGTGAGGTAGGCACCATCACAATGCCCTGATTTCAAAGGAAAGAACCGAAGCCCAGAGGGTTATTCAAATTCCAACTACTAAGTGGCAAAGAGAAGATTCCTCAGCCTTTCTGGTTTGGTAAAAACATAATAGAAGAGGCACTTCTGAATGCTTGTCTGAACCCTATTTCTATACTCACAAACACTCACTACCTATTTATTAAATTACTATATGAATACATGCAAATTTAAATAACCTCTATATGGTAGTTTGAGTGTCATTGGCCCCATAAGCCCATAGGGAGTGGCACTATTAGGAGATGTGGTTTTGTTGGAGTGGGTGTGACCTTGTTGGAGAAAGTGTGTCACTGTGGGGGTGGGCTTTGAGGTCTCAGATATGGCCATGCCATGCCCAGTGCCTCAGTTCAGCTCCTGTTGCCTTCTGATCAAGATATAGCCTGCATCATGTCTGCCTGCACGCTGTCATGCTCCCCATCATAATGAGTATGGACTGAACCTCTGAAACTGGAAGCAAGCCACCACAATTACATGTTCTCCTGATGAGTGGCTGTGCTCATGGTATCTCTTCACAGCAACAGAAACCCTAACTAAGATACTATATTTTGTAGTCATCTCATAAAATATATACATCACTACTATTTTACAGTACCTAGAGATCTCAAAAGAGTAATGATACATAACTTGGTGCCAGTAGAATCCAGTTTACCACCCATAATCTGAAAGGCATTGTTATAATTCCCTGGGTATGTGGAAAGTGTATAGAATATGTCTGCTAAGGTGATGAGAGCAAGCCAAGACAAGGGTAGTACTTAAGGACAGAAGAGAGGACAGCGTGGCCAAAACCACGGAGTGCGCAAGAGGACAAAAGGCTCTCGCCTGCATATTAATTTTCATGTAATACACTAATATTCTTGGGGGTGATTTGTTTTTGTTCTTGTCTTTTCTTTTGAGACAAGAGTTTCTCTGTGCAGCAGCTCCTGTAGACCAGGCTGGCCTCGAACTCAGAGAGATCCTCCTGCCTCTACCTCTCAAGTGCTGGGATTAAAGGTATGTACCACCACTGCCCCCCGGGGGGCTGATATATTTTAATGACTGCATTTTTAATAAATAGATTAAGTTTCATACACCCAAGCATTTCAGATCACTTTTAAAAATCTAAATGCAGTGAGAATATGCCATTGAAATGCAATAACTAAGAAATAAGGATAGTATAATAACAAGAAAAGAGAATTGGGGGCTGTTTATAGAAAAGGGGTGGCACACATCAAAGGAAGGCTTGAGTGAAACCGTGTTTCTCGGACATGAAAGGACAGTTATACTCATGAGGTCACAGCAACTGAGACTGCCTGCCCAGAGCAAGCCAGTCAACATTCCAGCGTGGAGGAAGGAGGGCCTCACCAACTCCCACCCCTTACTGAAGAGCTACTGACAATTCATGGCTGCTGAGGGAGAATCCGTGTTCTTCAGCAATGTGGTCCCTGGCAGAATGACCATGCTTTGATGGCTGGCCTCTCACCTGTATGAAGAGGGAGGGGCAGTACTAACTGGACTCAGTGGGTTGTAACAAATAAGATGCTTTGATGTTGGGAGGGGCCCAGGGGGTGAGACAGTCTTGGGAAGAGCTAAGGGGAGGGGTAGTGTATGAGTATAATCAAAATACATTGAACATATCTATGAAATTCTCAAATGATTAATCAAGAACATTATACTTAAAATATAAACTGAAAAGGGTGGCACAGAAATATGAAATGACTAACCATATAAGATGGCAATGATTCTATTACTCAAAGAGGGGGACTTCTCTTTCACAAGAGAAGATTTACATCCCAGAAAATGAAAATCTTTAAAGACATAGACAGGACTCAGTACATCTACAAGTGAGAATATCAAAAGGATCAAGTACTGTAGTAATATTTCATTTGTATGTTAATAAATAAAACTTGGTGAAGATCAGAATGCAGAGAAGCCACACTAGCCAGCCATAGAGGCCAGGCTGTGGTAGCACACACCTTTAATCCCAGCAGCTACATCAGTTAGCCATAGAGGCCAGGCTGTGGTGGCACACACCTTTCATCCCAGCACCCACATTAGTTAGCCATAGAGTCCAGGCTGTGGTGGTTCATGCCTTTAAGCCCAGCACTAGAGCGGAATATAAAGTGGGGTGAGACAGGAACTCACTCTCAGACTGAAGACTTCAAAGAAGTAAGAGCTCTCCAGTGGCTTGGCTGCTCTGCTTTTTTCATCTTCAGCTTGAACCCCAATATCTGTCTCTGGGTTTTATTATTCATGACACAATACTACAAAGCCAGAGGAATTCTATATACTATAAAGGCAAATATGGCATCTAAAGAGGGTTTCTTACTTCTTTTTTTTTTTTTTTTTTTTTTTTTTTGGTTTTTCGAGACAAGGTTTCTCTGTAGCTTTGGTGCCTGTCCCAGGACTAGCTCTTTTAGACCAGGCTGGCCTCGAACTCCCAGAGATCTGCCTGTCTCTGCCTCCCGAGTGCCGGGATTAAAGGCGTGCCCCACCACCGCCTGGCTGGTTTCTTACTTCTTTCTAGCTATACATTAATACACTCACCGTCAGTGTCTTCTCTTCCACCACAGGCCATACTCTCAGATCAATGGTTTGCTTGGACCTTTAGCTTAAAACTTATACTATCTTCTGCTTTGTCCCAGTCTGCTGCCTACTTGCCAGTGGCTTCACCTGAAAAAGTGTCCCACCTTTTTCATAATCATGTCATAATCAGACATGCCATAATCATAGCCTTACTTGGTAGGTAGCCATAGCAACCTTAAAGTTACAGTTGAACCTTTAGTTCCCACAAGAGCAAGTCAAAGGGAAGTTAAATCCCTGGCCATAAACCACAAATAACCCAAACATCTTAAAAGAGTCACATGGAAGGCACCAAAATCTAGGTAGACAACAATGATGTGAAGGACACTGGAGATGGGGGCTATAGAGAAGGCTCAGTAGTTAAAAGTCTGCACTGCTCCCAAGTTCAGCTTCTGACACTCAGCTCACAACTATCCAGACCTGAGGGAACAGATATCTCTGGCCTGCTTAGATATGTGAACACACACACACACAATAAATATATAAATAAATCTCAAACATTACAAGCACTTGCCATTGCTCCTGGTCACCCTTCAGAATTTGATGCTAAGACCCTATTACTGAAAACAGCATATACTGGTTTCACAGAACATGGGGCAATCAAGCTGTATTGACTATTGGCTATCATTCATAGTGCTGGAAGGTACTATGTATATTACCAGGGGAGAAATGGAATCATCACTCCTACCCAGCAGTGAAGCCTGTGAGCTATAGTAGTGACCAGCCTGGCAAGATATGCCCATTGGTACAATAGAAACAAAAATGCCGCAGGAGTAACTGCGCTGGTTTGAATGAGAATGGTACCCATAGGTTCATCTGTCTCGTATGTCATATGTCATCGGTCTCCAGTTGGTGGAAGCATTTGGGAAAAACTAGAAGGTGTGGCCTTGTTAAATCTGTGTCACTGAGGGAAAGCTTTGAGGTTTCAAAAGACTTGCACTGTCTAAATTACTTTACTATTGTGGGGACAAAACACTGTGATCAAGGTAACTTATAAAAGAAAGCATATAATTGGGCTTACACTTTCAGAAAGTTAGAGTCCATGATAGTAGAACAAAGACATGAAATCAGGAGCAGCTAAGAGTTCATATCTTGATCTGAAAGGAATTGGTTACACTTTCAGAAAGTTAGAGTCCATGATAGAACAAAGACATGACATCAGGAGCAGCTAAGAGTTCACATCTTGATCTGAAAGGAATTGGTTACACTTTCAGAAAGTTAGAGTCCATGATAGAACAAAGACATGACATCAGGAGCAGCTAAGAGTTCACATCCTTATCTGAAAGGAGGAGGCAGGGAGCATACTGGGAATGGCTACAGTATTTTGAAAACTCATTCTCATTGAAACCACTACATTCAACTCCCTGGCCACTGTAGGCTCATGGCTATATCTTTTTTGGTTGTTTGTTTTTGTTTTTCGAGACAGAGTTTCTCTATAGCTTTGAAACCTGTCCTGGAACTAGCTCTGTAGACCAAGCTGGCCTCGAACTCACAGAGATCTGCCTGCCTCTGCCTCCCGAGTGCTAAATAAAAAAGATTTATTTTATTTGTGTGTGTGTGTGTGTGTGTGTGTGTGTGTGTGTGTGTGTGTGAGAGAGAGAGAGAGAGAGAGAGAGAGAGAGAGAGAGAGAGAGAGAGAGCCAGAAGAGGACATTGGACCCCCTTGGAGCTGAAGTTACAGGCAAATGAACTGCCAGACTTGGTTGGTGGAAACTGAACTGTTCTTTGTAATAACAGCGAATGTTCTTAATCACTAAGTCATTTCTTCCATTTCTATTTTTCCTAAAACAAAAATACTTCATTTTTAAGTGTGTGTGTGTGTGTGTGTGTCACATCCCTGCCAATGCCCTGTGAGTCGAGTGCTTGGAGTTCTCTGGAGCTGGAGTTACAGGAGGTTGTGAAGCCTGCTGAGAAGTCAGCTGGGGGCTCCTGGAAGAGCAGCAAGTGCTTCCAACCACTCAGCCAACTCTCTAGCTCTATTTTTCTATATTTTCAAACTAATTGCATAATTATTATATTTCCCATACTTTTTAGCTTTGGATGATTGAAAGGATGCTGCATCTTGGAAGGGATATTCAGTGATGGCAAGTGAGATGGTTTGCTATTGTTGCAGTTGGTATAACTGCCATGTAGGTGTTTTTAAAACAATACCAGCTCTCAATGCATCGTATTATGATTGTTAGAATCTCCTTAAGCCTTGGGAAGAAAACGAATCTTTTATTTTTGCCTAGGGCAGTTAAAACAAATGAGCTGAAAAACAAAGCCGACCTTGGTAGGCAAAAAATAAAAAAAAATACTGAAGGAATTTAATAAATGAGTAAGGGAGGCCTAAGAGATGGCTCAGAAGTTAAGGGTGATTGTTGCTGTTACAGAGTGCAATCCTTGCACTCGCGTTGAGCAGCAGCTCATAACCACCTCCTGTAGGGGATCCAGCGACCTCTCTGACCTCCTCGGGAGTGCACCGCAAGGCATGTACAAGCATGTTTGAGAAATGACTGGGGATCATAGAGGTCAGAGTACAAATTTGGAGTGAAATAATGTGAAAATACCTTTCTCTTGACTATTAGTCTAAAAACTGATACTTCAGTCTCCAAACGATTGGCTCTTTTCGAAATACGGCGCCAGGGTTCCCGGACCAATGCCACGCAGGAAGATTTCGGGCCCCCCTGGAAACGCCCCTCCCCTTTGAAGGCGGTTCGTTGGGAGAAGCTCTTACGCATGCACCTTACCCGCTGGTCCATTGGAGCGGCTGCCAGGCGCATGCGCAACAGCCAATGGGCGGCAAGATGCGGAAGAGCTGGCCCTGTGGAGGCTCCCATTTCTGAAGCGTGGGAGGCAAAAGAGGCGGCAGATCGTAGAATTCAGTTTGCACTCCAGCGGGTCTCGCAGGTCATTAGAACCAATAAGAGAAAGAAGTAGCGCCGTAGTGGCGCAGAAAGCCGACCCCTTTTCCGAGTCCTCCAGGCGGGCGGGGGCCAGGGAGCAAAAGGCGCCATCCCTGCGCTGAGGGGCCCTGGGGGCCGGGTCCCGGAGCATGGCGGACTGGACAGAGACCCTGAGCATGAGGAGGTGGAGCTGCCGAGGCCGTCTGGCCAGCTGTCAAGTCCTCATTGCTAGCGCTGCAAAAGCGGCCGCAGCAACTGTAGCCGAGCCGCGCTTGCGGTCTTAGGCGGGAAAAATGACAGCATGAGTTCTGCCACTGCCTAGTTTCCTCCCTTTTCTTCTTTTGTGTTTTCCTCTTCCACACATTCCGTCCTCCTCCTTTCCCAGCCCTGTACTCTTCTTCCCCCTGACCTTTGTGCTCTTTTCGCACTTCGGTCCTCTTCCATATATCCTATGAACTGCGTTTCCATCTTTCCTTTATCAACCTCTGCGCCTCTTTCCTTCTCCCGTCTTTGTCTTTCCTCCATCCTTTTTTTTTTCATCCTATCCCCCCTCCCAACACAAGCTCTCCATCCTCCTCCGCCCCCCACCCACCCCCACATCCTGCCTCATCTGCATCCTCCTCTCCCACTTTTCTCCGCCCTCGCGCCCAAGCCTCCGCCCATTAGCCCCCGCCCCCAGCTGCCAGTCCCCAGCAGCTCAGTCCTGCAGTGAGTCCATAGCAAAGCACCAGGAGCTGAGCACTGCTGGCTGTGCGGGCTAGCAAGTCTCCGAATGGCTCAGGAGAAAATGGAGCTGGATTTTGAGGCTGACACATCTGATGGGGGCACCCTGAGACGGGCCAACAGTGCTCCTCTGATCCATGTGCTCAGGTGAGCTGAACTGGGGAGGACGGAGTGTGGGGTTCAGTGATTTGTCCCTGGGCAAGAAGTCTTCCTTCCCGAAAGTGGCAGTTCGAGTTCATCTGGACTCCAAACTGAGGGGGTTGAGGTCTTCTTTTCTTCACAGTGGCTTGGCTCCCTAGATGGAGGGAAAGTTTGACCTCACACTTTGGCCACGTCTGAGAAAGGGGCCCTTTCTACCTGGGGGCCATGTTGTCCAGTTCTGAAAGAGAATGTAGAACCTGCCTCTGCTGACAGGTTGCTTCCCCCTGGCTAATTTCCATCAGGGCAAGTGAAGCTGAACCCCCTGAATTAGGCTTGTAACTTGACACCTGTGTCTAAGAGCTGCTGTTTCTATGCCGAGTTTAGGAACCCTGGCATTAACAGAGGTTTGCGTTAAGAAATCACAGTTTATCTAATAACTTGGGATTACATGGTGCGCTTCTATCTTATTAAGTGATTTGGATTTGTTACAGTGTTTTCAGTTTTTAAAGCTGCCTGAAATGCGTTTCAATGCCTAAGAAGAGAAAAAAGAGATGGTTTGTGGCTTAGGTCTGTAAACACTGGTTTGAGAAAATAATGGGGAAAAAATCGCTCCTTTAATTTTAGTGGCAGGATGTTGTCTCTTGCAAACAGGGAATTTAAAGCGAAATCGTGTGATAATGAGGGCTGGTTGGCTCACCTAATGAAGCTATCACACTTGACTTTCGTGAGTAGGCGACCCCCTCCTAGAGGGCATGAATACAGCACACAAGGAGCAATATTTGCCCACCACAGTTTTTCGAGCACAGCTGAAGGCTTGATAATGCTTTGCTACCTATTGAACTGCTTATAACATCTGGATTTTGCAGAGGGGCGAGTATTTTTTCCCCTAGTTTTAAATATGATTTTGAAACGGAGGGAATGACGAAGTGACTGTTGCATTTCTGATGTTGTCCTTGGCATCAGCAAGTAATGTTTGGATGTTTAAGAGGAAACTGTCTGTTTCGTCTCATCCTCCACCCCACCTTCTCTCTCCTTATCTTGTGAAAGTCTGGTAAGCAAGCAATTGCTAGGGCCCTGGGCTGTCCCACTGACCTGCATTTAGACAATTAAGGGAGAAAATCCCACTGTTTCGAGAACCACAATTTAAGTAATTACTTGATAGCATGATGTGACAGCCAAGGGGAAAAAAAGACCAGGCCTGGTCTCAATTGTCACTAGCTAGCTATACGGAATGAGTTATTTCTTTTCGCATCTGTTTTCTCATTTAAAAACGAGGATAACTGAAATAGGTATTGTTGGTGGTCTCTTAGAGCCCAGTACAGTTCAGTTTTGAAAATCCTTGTGTTCCTATCATGGCAGAACAGACTGCTAGGCACTTCAGGGATATCGTACAAAGGCGAATAAAGCGCCTCGCCTGAGAGACTTAATAACCATTTACACTTATTTTCTATTTATTTCCATTTTCCCCTTTTCTCTTTTTGTTGTGATGCTGGAGAACCTTTTTTTCCTAAATAGAAGGTAAAATGTGAGCCCTGTATGTAGCTGTTTAACAGTGTCCGTCTGTTAACGTGTGGGGGGCCATGATTTAATCCTCATGGACATACAGACATACAAATGTACTGGAATGGTAGTGTAGCTCAGGGTAGACCTTTTGATGGGGGTATACAAGGTTCTTCCTTCTGTCTCCAGCCCTTCATTAAAAAATAAATAAAAAGGAAGTTTTTCCAACTGTGGTGGTATATGCTTGAGCCCAGGAGTTCAAGAGCAGCATGAACAACAGCAAAACCATGTCTTTAAAAAGCAAGGCGTTGTCTCAAGAAGCTGTCGTCTCCCAGTTCCTTTAAGTTTGGCGTCGGGAATGGTTGCCTTATGTTTGTGGAATGAGGAGAAGGTTGTGCTGTGCCTTCAAGGAAGCAAGGCTCTTGAGATAGGTGTGGAAGGAGAGGATGAATTTTTGACAGATGATGGCAGGGCGTGGGAGGTCAAAGGGGAAACATGAGCAAAAAAGGAAAGAAAAAAGCCAACTCTTCAGTTCTCTCTATTCACTTGGACCTCGGGATCCAGAAACAGAGCGGTGGAACTGGTGCATGGGGCAGAAATGTTAGGACTGCGCTCTTAAAACCAGGACTCCCTGCTTCTTCTCAGGTGGTAACACGGGCAAAGCAGTAAGTAATCCTCATGGTTCTCTGGGGTAGAGAGATGAGCTGCTCACATCTGACAGGAACTGGTTTGGGGGTGTAGTTCTGACCTGAAGCAGCTGGAATGAGCCAGTCTGGAGCTCCGCCCTCCACCTCTCAGAGCTGTCCCCCAACCACTGAGGAGATCAGTATCTAGCAGAAGCGGAGGCCGCAGCAGCACTCTGAGCCTGGCCTGCCAAGAGGCTGGTAAGGAGGTCCTGTCTCTAGGAAATGATGAGCCATTGAAGATTTCATTGTTAATTGCGGATTGGAGGGTGTTGAGCTCAGCTGACGGATAGCTTCCTTTAGAAGACGCTAATCCTTTTATTTTTTACTTTTCAGTGACCTTTCACAGGTTTTTGAGCCATATCCACTTAGACCTCGGAGGAACAGTGCGACAATTATGAGCCATCATAGCTTGGTAAGTATCAAAGTAAGTATGGGCAGTGATTTAGATGGGCGGGAATACTTTCAAATATAGCTCTTTCTGGGAAATTATGTGCTGTGCACATTTCTTTTTTCAAAAAACAAAAGATTTATTTTATCCATCTTGTTTACTAATTTTGCAATAATGGCCATTCAGCTTTGGGTACATACACACAAGGGTTGGGGGTGGGGCTTAAAAAAATTGCCTTCGTTGCTGTAGGACTTTGTATTTGTAAAAACCATTCTTTGTTATTTATTTCTACTTGCGTCACAGTTGTGAGGTAAATCAGGAGTAAATTCCAAATATAGCCGAGAACCGTGGTCTTTATTTGTCCTAGGATGTAAAAAAAAAAAAAAATCACCTAAATAGTGGCAGAATGTTTCTGACACTCATCTGTCAGATAACACGGGTTGTCTAAAATAAAGACCCCTGGAAAATCTGTATCTATATTCCCAGAAGAGCGGACGAGTGTGGATTTTTCTCTGTGGCAGAGCTGTTGGGAATCACCATATTCGATGGCTGCACTGGGGAAATGATGAAGAGGTTTTTATATAGTAGCACTTCACATGCAGAGCTCACGCTCTCGGCAGCTTTAGCCATCGGAGATGTGAGCACACGGGCCTCTAAATGGCTGAACTACATTTCCATAGTCTGTGCACAAAGGTTCATCCATTTATTTATAGGACAGCCTCTCTGACCCCTGAATCATCTAAAATTTATACACAATTATAATAAGCTTCCAACTCAGTGGTGTGGTAGAGGCAGCAAATCAGAAGGGGTGCATTTGGGTTAAAGGTCTGCTAATAGTTGCTAGCAGGGGAGGAGAGAGAAAGGCAGAAAAGCAGACAGGATTTTCCCCTCCCAACAGTTTGTGGTTTGGCACAAGAGCTAAGAGCCTGTTGATAGTCCCGAGGGTGTCGCTAGTATAGAAGCTTATGGTAACGTTCTTAAGGATCCCTGGTCATTAACCTTTTCTTAATTTCCAGCAACATCTACCCTTTGATTGTATTTTACATGGTACAAAGTCCTTTCACTTTAGTTCATGTAACAGTCTCCACAAAGTAGAAAAGAGACAAGACACGAGGTGGGATTTTTCCCAGTTACAGGCAGCAGCGACTGACTCATGACACTTGTGACTTGCTTAGGATCACACAGTAGTAGATGGCAGAGCTGATACTGGACTAGAGAGCTTCCAGGCCATTCTGTTTGGTTTAACGTGTTTGAGAAAGGGGACACTAGAGCACATTTTAGAAAGATTTCCACTGACCTGGGTAAAAATACTTAAAGAGGGGACGTTAGCTATCTAGAGGTTTGATTCGCTGCACCTACTTCCCTGACAGTACTTGAAAATATAACTACTTATTTTTGTTGGGTGTATGAAAAATGTTCTTCCGTGTTATACAGCTATGCTCCTGATAAGAGAAGCATAGCAAAGACGGGGAAAACGAATTTGCCTCTCTGCACTTCACTTAGCTCTTTTCTAAGAGGTGAAGATTCTTATCCACTCTAGTCTAAGCTCATCTGTCATTACTCCACATCCTTTGCCCTGGCGGCCTCATTTTCTAAAGGGCCATGGTAATTCACTGAGCCTTGTGCTCTCCATCAACCCCATCCTCCTCCTTTCTCGCATTTTTGCTCCTTCAGAACCTACTTTAATCCTTCTATCTCCTTTGTACACATTCCCACACCATCATGATATTAATGACACTCTATACTAATATTACAGCACACTGTATAAATCTTAATGTGCTCATCCGTGTCCCATAGTAACAAGGAAAGAGTGAAACGTTGGCAAATGAAATGGAAAGGAAGAGACGGTAAAAAGACAAGCAGAGGGGTAGGACCTCCATAATTTGCCAACTGATTAGCTATATGTGAATCGTCTAAAATTTATACACAATTAGAATAAGCTTCCAACTCGGTGATGTGGTAGAGGCAGCAAATCAGAAGAGGTGTATTTGGGTTAAAGGTCTGCTAATAGTTGCTAGCAGTTGATTTGGAGGCCAAATTACATTCCTTCAAAATAATCATAGTCCTGTCACAAAATGTAAGATATAATTCAAACCAATGGATTTTACAGGATTGTAACAGTCATAATGTAAATAATTGCTATTTTCCATAAGAAATACAAATGAGTGTGTAATAGTACAACATCAAACATGACAATTATTCTGCTTAAGCAGCCTTATGCTATTACAACTTTTTCAAATAACAATTTTGGGAGAAGGAGGATTCCAACTGACTGAAATTGTGTTTCATTGTGACCAGGGGAGTGGTGTTGTCTTAATTACAAGGAGAGAAGTTGAAAAGATGGGTAGTTTGAAAGGAAAGATTAGTTCTCTCAGGGGACTGAGGTACCACTGATGCCATGCTGTTCTCCAGAACCATATTCTAAATCTTTTTTTGTTGTTTAGTCTCTACTAGCCTCCTGATTTAGCACTATTTACTCCCAGCCAAAGACACTTCTCATTTCACAGATAAAACAGACCCTTATCTTTTAATTTCTTAAATGATTTATTTATTTTAGTATGTCTTGAGTCTGTATGAATATACATGCACATGTGCATTCAGGAGCCTGTGGGGGGCCAGAAGAGGGTGCTGGAACCCTTGGAATTGGAGACACAGACAAGTGTGGGCTGCCATGTGACTCCTGGCAATTAAACCCAGGTCCTCTGCAAGAACAGTAGTTCTTAACCACGGAGCCATCTCCAGTCCTGACACCTGTCTTTTATAATATCAGTTTTCTTCACCTTCAAATGCCTTTGTCTTCACATATGGCACTACTCCCTGGTGGTTAATACGTTTGCTGGTGCCCCTGTCACTTGGGGTCGCTATTGTCTCCTGTCTTAGCCTCTCAGTCTTTTCCTCTCTAACCTTTGGCTCCCAACTTTCCCCCACACGTATTGTAAGGGACAATAGTCTTCTTTCATGTAGGTCTGTCCTTCTTTTCTGTTCCCTTCCCTGGCCTTTTTCAAAGAAAAAGCTAGCCTTCACGTTATCTAGCTCCTTGTCTCCTAATTTCCTGCTAGTTGGTAATCTTGCTGCTTCTACCACAACTCCATTAAAGGCCGTCCTTGAAAATGTCACTAATGCCCACTTAATTGTCTATGTCAGGGGGCTCATTTCTTATCCCACTTGAGCTCTTTGCTTTCCTTAACACCATTTAGCCAGCATCTTCCTAAAGCTCTTAGAACATTTTTTTTTCCAGCTCATACATTATTCTTGTTTCTGGTTCTAGACATCGTTCTGTTTTTATCTCTCTCTGTTTCAGAGCCACTCTATAGTTTTGTCTAGATTGAGAAGTTTAATCAATGTTGCGTTTTAATTTCTGACTTCCTCCGCATTTTTGGGACTATCCTCATTTTGGCTCTGTGGATGAAGGTCACTACCTTTTGGCATTCTTGAGTTCTCTGGATGATGCACACGTGTGCTTTCTCGCACCAGCCTATTAGAGTAACCCTGTCTTATTTCCTTACCTGGTAGTTTATAATTTTCAGTGAACTCATTAAAAGTTCAGTGGTAAACTTGTGTTGCTTTCTCAATGCAAAAAAAATGACATTACAAAGGATTTTACTTGTAAAGTTTTTCTTGTTTCAAAACTTAGAAGAGAAAAATACAAAAAGGGTGGGTAATGGAGGCATATCTTTTAAGGTGAAATCATGTCTCCGTGGATACTTTTACTTGAATTAGCTTTTGCCTAAAAAGCCCATTTTTGTACTTCTCACATTAGAATTTTTTTATTTTTTAGTTGTAATAGCATAAGGCTTCTTAAGCAGAATAATTGTCTTGTTTGATTTGATACTCTTACAAGCTCATTTGTATTTCTTATGAGAAAATAATAATTATTTACATTACAACTGTTAACAATTTTGTAAGATCCACTGGTTTGACTATATCTTACCTTCTGTGACAAGATTGTGGTTATTTTTGAAGGAAAATAATTTGGTCTCCATATTAAAAAATGAGGGCTTGAGACTATTGATAAGAGTCCTTGTCTGACATGCATGAAGCCCTGGGTTCATTCCCAGGACTCCATATACCAGATAGTCAAGAGGTGGAGACAGGACAATCAGAAATACAAGGTCATCATCAGCTACCTAAACAGTGAGTTCAAAGCCAGCCTGGGCTGTGTGAAATCCTGTCGGAAAGAGAAGAAAAGATGATGTAAAGGAAACAGCAATTCTTTTGAAGGTTAACCATGCCGTCTTTCTTTGATCCTAGCTAGGGCAGTGTGCATGCAAGGCAAACGCTCTTTCCCTTAAACTGGTCTTGCTTTAGCTGTTATGGTTTGTGGTGATAGCATTGGAAATCAGACCTTAGAGATGATTTATAGTATGGAAGCAAAATGTTCTTCTTGCCATTTTAAAATATTTTTGAGAACATTAATCATATATAAAATGTTATGTCAGGTTTGTTAGCCTATCTTTACTCATTAGTGCATCAGTAATAAAAATTGATATCATTGGCATTTTTTTCTTTCCCATTTCACATAGCTTCTTATTTTAGATTAGTGGAATAATGAATACTTCCAAGGCCCAGTCTTTTTTCCCTTAAATTTATACAGCTTTCCATTCATTTGGGAAAAGTGCTAAAGTCAGGGCCTGTCTGGCAACAGATGGTGCTTTGAGGTTGGACACCTGGTGTACTTTCTAAAGACTGCATGCATTGCCTCTAGTGTATTAATGTTTAGGGGTTGAAGAGCGAAGTTTCTAAGAATATGAAGAACTATGGCGGAAGAGGTTGAACACTAATACTGACAATGACGGAAGCTTGGTGACGCACACAGTAGGAAATGTTTACATTTAGCTTACTAGCTCGGGTCAGAAATTTAAGACTGAAATCTTCAAAATTAGCAAGGGTGCCACTCCTGGCTAGCAGCATCACACTTCTGAGTCTGCTCTAAAATACAGGTAAAGCATGGTTGCCAATCTCAGAATGGTAGTTCTGATCACCTGGGATTATTTCAGTGTTATTTGAAATAGACACATGGTGGAAAACTATGACTTAGCACATGTGCTTCTCCTTATAGGAAGAAGGCCTGGATATGATGAACAGAGAAACTTCACATGAAAGGTCAGTGGTTAGGAAGGGCAGGGCCTAACCTACTGTGTCTTGTTTGTAAACTCTAATGGCTTTTTTTTCTTTTTTTAGGGACGCTCAAGCAGGAATGCAGATAAGCCAGTCGTGGGATGAAAGTTTGAGCCTGGTAAAGTGTTCCCATGTGTGCTTGTTTTGTAACTTCCCAAAAATTTTTGTATTATTCAACTGTCTCGGTAGATTCTTTCATAGACTAATAGATGGCCTTCCTGCTTCCAGAGTGATTCTTAGTTTTGATCTCTGCTTTACCAGCAAAATGTTTGAATGTGTCCATTTCTGTTCTTCACAATATAGGCATGTTGTTGTAGTAGTACATAGAATTCGTGACATGCTGAATGAAGGTAATATTTTATGTTTACAGAGTGATAGTGACTTTGACAAGCAAGAGAAGTTATATTCTCCAAAGAGAATTGACTTTACTCCAGTTTCTCCGGCACCTTCCCCAACCAGGGAATTTGGAAAGGTAGGGTATTGTCGACCAGATATTAACTGTCTCTTGCACAGCAAGCTGTTTATCCTAAAATATATATACACAATTCAACTCAACTCACCTTCAAAGTCTCCAGAGATTTGAAGAAGCAATGCAAATCTATAGTAGTGGATTGGGAAAATGTCATATGTATGAGGCACTTGCATAGCTATACTGTTTCTGGCATGTTTCAAAAGAACCTTTTAAAAACAACAAAAGAAAAGCATCTTTGGAAAACTGAAGTGCTGTGGCAGTTTCGATAGTGCATGTACTTTCTCTAACAGAGTTTGTCACCATCCTTGGAAATGTTCGTGAGTAGCGGCGGTATGCCACCAAGTCCTGTTCTGAATGCAAGACATTTTTCAAGGTAAGAGAATTTGAGTGTTAGATTTGCGGACTGGAAAGATGACTCAGTGGGTAAAAGCACTTGTTAGCATGAGGATCTGAAGTGAGACCCCAGAACACATGTGTAAAGCTCATCATGGCCATGAACACCTATAACCTCACTGGGAGACTGAGACAGGAGGATTGCTCAGGCTTGCTGGCCACTTAGCCTAGCTCTAGATTTAGTGAGAGACCATGTCTGACAGGAATAAGGTGGAGTGTGATAGACCATCTTGCTCCTGACTCCCAGAGCATTAGCACACAGGCACATGAACTTGGACATGTGTGTGTACATGCATACATCTCACACACAAGAGAGAGACAGAGAGAGAGGGGTGTCTGGAGTATCACTCATTATTTTTTCCTTGAGTTAATTTTACTATGGAATTTTTTAGACATACATCAAAATAGTTAGAACTTCATAATGAACAACCATATGCTCACCACTTACATTGAGGCATTAACATTTTACAAGATTCTGTGTTTGAGATTTAATGCTGATTGATGGATTGATTGTGATACCAAGTCTTGAACCAAGAACCTCGTGAGTACTGGGCAAACTCTATCATGAAGCTACATCCCCAATGCTTAGTGTTGATTTATATTCAGAGAGAATACACACACACACACATACACACACACACATACACACACACTACCATGCTAATACCCCTTTTAAAGATAAAAGACGTTATAGATCAAAATCCAAATACATTTTTTAGTAAGACACATTTCTTTAAGCAATTGTGGGTATTTTGCAGTAGAGAATATTTTTTTAAATGGCTTAAAATGCCCTGTTTTCTCATCTCTCCGTATGTTTGAGTCTAATCGCCCTATATATAAACACTGTGTATTTCTGACTATATGACTGTCGATGTTGCTGATTTGCTAGGTTGTAATGCTGTGGGTCTTTCATCCTATTTGTTTATTTGTCAAAGCAGGAGGAATCAGAGTCCAGTCAAGTGCATCAGACCCAGTGCTCTTGGTCCTCTTAAGAGAAAAGGTATGTGGCAAGTATAGTTGACAGGACTGTGCTACATACTTCAAATCTAGGAGAGCAGACCTTAAATGTTCTTATACCACCCCAGAAGAAAAGCTAAATAGGTATGGTAATTAATGTATTCGTATATGTACTGTTGTACACCTTGCTAAGGACATATATTCATTTTAACAATATTGGGGGAAAAGATTCATCATACTTCTGATATTCAATTTAGCCAAGCTTGAATTAGAAACTAGAATTCTCATCTGAAATGAATTCACAGAAATAATTTTCTTTTTTTTTCTAAAGAAATGTTAAATATTTTCAACATATTCTGTACAGGTTCTATGTTACATAAATTATTTTATGATATATATATTTATAATTCATATCTGAATTATATTCTTATATTCATATTGTTGATGTATATTCCAAAACAATTGCCTTTCAGTGATCTCAGAGATGCATAGCAAATACATCTGTAAACACGAAGCTTGCCTAGAAGTGGGACTCACGATCCCATCAACAAATTATACCTCAGCAGAGTACAAGTTGTCCAGTAGTAAGGTCTGGAAAGTTTTCAGTGTACGTGGGTGCTCTCTCAGTTGCTTATTTTGAACTACAAAGCACTAAAGTTTTCTCAGTCTGCAGTAGACTTAGATGTTTATGTAAACCCTTGATAGCATCTGTTTCTTTAAACATGGCCAAGATATTTGATAATTGGTTTAGTCATTATTCCTGGCAATTTGACTATATAATTAAGAGTGCCAGGTGCCATTTTACTTTATTTTTTATTATTCGTTTTTTGTTTTGTTTTGATACAGTCTTATGTCACCAGGCTGGCAATGAAGTCACTATATATATAGCCAAGACTGGCCATAACTTTTGGTCATTTTGCTTCTGTCTCCCAAGTGGTGTGATTATACAGAGGCGCTGCCACATCCATCTAGTTTTTTTCTTTCATTTTTTTATCAGCATAGAAAATATGTTTTTTATGGCATTTTCTTGTATAGTTTACACCGCCTCATCTCTTTCTCCTCCTATTGCCCTCCCTCAATGCTTTTGTGTTCCTTGTATTTTTAACCTTTTTCCTCTCAAGACCTCTTTTTCTCTTCTTATGAGCCCACATAAAAGCACATATATAAAAATTCATTCTGAGATCTTCATGTTTTATAGACCCACATAGTTATTTATAATTTTTAAGAGATTTTTTAAATTTTATGTGTACGAGGGTTTTGCCTGATTGGTGTGCATCACATGCATACAGTGACTGTGGAGGGCAGGAGAGGGCACTGGATCCTCTAGAATTGGAGTTTGAACAGATGGTTGTAAGCCACCCTGGGATTCTGAGCCCTGAACCCAGGTCCTTTGCTAGTACAACAAATGCTCTTAACCACAGTGCATCTCTCCAGCCCGCATCTATCAAAAACATACATTGAGGGAAAAAATAACAGCCTCTTTAGCAAGTGGTACAGGGAAAACTGGATGTCCACATGCAGAAGGATGAAACTAGATCCCTCTCTTTCATCCTACACAAAAAAGCAATTCAAAATTGATCAAAGACCTTAATATAAAACCTAAAATGCTAGAATTCCTAAAGGAAAACACCTTAAGCTGCGGATATAAGCAGATGTCATTTTAAAGAAGAGTTTTTCCAATTGCCTTAAGAAAAATGCCTTAAGAAAAAAGCCTGGACAGATGTTTCAGTGGTTAAGGGAGAATGCTGCTATATTGTAAAGGACCTGAGTTCTGTTCCCAGCACACACATTAGGTGGCTTTTAGCCACCTGTAACTCCCGGTCCCGAGGGATCTGACACCTCTGGCTTCCAAAGGCTCCTCCATTCATATGGATATACCAACACAAATTCAAACACACACATAATTAAAATGATAAAAATAAATCTTTAAGACTTAAAAAAGAGCAGTTCAGCTAAGTGTGATGGTTCATGACTGTAATCCTAGTATTTGGAAGACTAAGACGGTAGAATTACCAGGGCTTGAGGCTATACTGCATATAATAGCATAGTGAGTTTGAAGCCAGCCTGGAGTATAGACTGAACTGTCTCAAAAAACATTATATATATGGCTGAAGAGATGGCTAAATGGTTGGGACTACATACTGCTCTTGCAGAGGACCTGGGTTCAGTTCCAAGCACCTACATGGTGGCTGCCAATCCTATTTCCAAGGGATCTGATACTTTTCTTCTTTTAGCCTCTGCAGGTACCAGGCACACATGTGGTACACACGTATATATGTAGGCAAAACATTCATACACATAAAAATATGTAAGTCTTTTTTATAACCCTCAAAAATTCAGCAATTCAGATCACCTTCAGGACTACTAAAGTAAACTAGGAAAATGGCTTTGGTGAACCTTTCTAGCCCTACACTCACACACAAATTCAGAAGTATTAAATTTGATCCCATTTAGAATTAAGGATAGCTAGGTATGGTGGCACACAACTGGAAATCACACTTGTGTAGTGGAGACAGGAGACACGGTCAACTCAACTTCATGAGGCTCAGTCTCAAAAATATCAAAGAGGGCTGAAGATGTAGCACTATTGATAGAGTACTTGTGTAACGTAATGTGTACGAAGCCCTGGGTTTGCTCTCTGCTCTAGCCTAACAGTTTGGCGATGCATGCCTGTAATCATAGCACTGAGGTAGAGGCAGGGGCATCAGGAGGTCAGGGGCATTCTCTGCTACTTGGGGAGTTCAAAACTGGAAGTCAGAGGCAGGTGGATCACTATAAGTTTAAAGACAGACTAGTTGCACAGTGACTTCTAGACTACCCAGGCCTACAGAGAGTTGTAGCCACTGGTAGTTTGCCCATACTCTAGTGGATGACCCCAAACCCATGCACATATGAACAACACTAATGGACTTAGTAGGTTATAAAACAAGTCGTAAAGATATGAAATTGGAATGGGGTCATAGGGGGATAGAGGACCCAGGGGGAGTAGGAGAGGCAAATTGGTGATGAATATGATGATATTTAATTATTTACATATATGAAATTATGAAAATATTAAAGATGATGTGCTTTGGAAAGTAGGTTCTGATATAGTGATACTGTTTATATTTAGTAAATCAAGTCCCTTTATTTAATCTTGGAAGGAATCATTTATAACCTTAGGAAAGCTCTTAGGAGTATTAGATAAAAGTACACTTTAAACTAAGGTTATTATTGTTATTAAAGTAAAATCTGTCCAGTAAGTTAATGGAATTAGTGTTTAGTAGCTATTCCAAAATCAACCAGTAGGTGGAGGGATTCTTTGCTAGAGTTTAAAACCCAGCTTTGAAGCTTCACTGAACAAAGCAAATATTCTAACTTTTGTGAGTGTCAGTAACTTACACAGAAGCTCCAGAAGAAAAAGTCATATTATTTAGTTCATATGAACTAAATTCATTTAGTTCAAATGAAGTTTGCATGTGTTCTTATTTTCTCTTTTTCTGTCTTAAGTAGTTCATACAGTTTTCAGTTCAGTTCCATGGTCCTACTGAGGTATAGCTAAACTCCTGCGTGTTTGAGACAGGGTTTCACTCTGTAGTACAGGCCGGTGTGGCATTCTGGGCAGCCCAGTTGCTCTCTACCTCACAAAGGCTGGGATTACGTGCTCACCACTTTTATCTTAAATTGTCTTTTCCATTCTGTTTTCAAGCTCAGATAAAGACCATCAAATCCAAGTAATATGCACAATTGAAATAAAAACAGAGTTTGGGGCAGGAGAAGAAGCAAACAGCCCTTACTAGTTAGTGGTAAAATGTGAAGCGCGATTCCTATTGGTGCCGTGTTTATGATTACAGTTCAGTGAAAATCTGTAGAGTTGAGCAAACCAGTACAGTTCCAAGTTTGTGAACTGGGTTACTGTTACTGCTTTCAGGTGTACTTTCAACTATATCTTTATATTTAGTATAGCATCTAATTCAACCTTCTATTTCTACACTATCAGAAAATACATCTTGTTGCTGTCTCAAGGATGTGTTAAGTTACTGAAAGATATAAAATAAGTACTTTTTGCAAGCCATAAAATAGTCACCGTGAGCTTCAACTGTTTGGGAATACCTACTTTGTCTGATAAAATCAATGTTTCTTTTTATTGAAGAGAGAGAGAGAGGGAGAGAGAGAGAATAACATGCTATACATAATGCATGAAAAATGAAAGCTTTTTTTTGGTCAGTTATAAAAAACATGTCTTTTATATTAAAGTACACGAGAAAGTCATTGTTTTAAGGGGGAGGTGTTTGGAGAGAAGGTCTTATGTAGTGTAAGCTAACCTGGAAGTAGCTATGTAGCCCAGGTTTGAACTCTTGTTCTTCCTGCCTTTGTCTCTGGAACTCTAGACTCCTGGCACATGCGGGAACTTTTATATAATAGCTTCAAGTATTCCGAGCTTTGGCTATGCAAATATCCCCCTCATTTTAGCAGTGGTCCTGTGTTTGTAGAATTGTTTTATGGTAGCTATGTTTCTTGTGTTATAGGAGAGATGGAGACAGAAAGCCAGCCTAAGAGACTCTTCCAAGGCTCTACCAGCATGCTGCCTACAGATGCTTCGCAATTGTCTGATCTCAGTTCATGGTAAAAATGAAATGAAAAAAACTATTAGGGTATAATTCACGTTACAAAAGAAGCACATCGAAAGAATATTGAGATAATATAAAATGTAATTCACACTCACACAGGCAAGTCTCCACAGAGGTGTAGATGGTTTTGAATGACCAGGTCCTCTGAAAGTCCAAGTACTTCTTTGGAAGTATGTGTATCCTTTTGTACCTTTATTTGGTTCCTAGCCTGCTAGGTCAGACTTTCTCAAGGACAGTGTGGTGTCGTGCCATCAGCTGACTGGTGTGAGAAAGCCTCTGGGTTGCTGTGGAGAAAATGCGTATTGATTACCCCTGCTCTGCTTGCATTTCATGTTCCATGCTTTTGACTCCTAAGACATGGCTGCGTTGTCGTAACTATGTGTGTCAGTCAAACGTTTGTTCACTGTGACAAAATCCCTGGCATGAGCAAGGGGGAAAGGATTTATTTCAGCTCATGGTTTCAGAAGCTCCGGTCTGAGGTTCGCAGGCTCTCTTGATTCTGGGCCTGTGGTGATGCCGGTCATCGTGACAATAGGAATATCTGGTAGGGCTACTGCCCCCGGGGAAGCCAGGAAGCAGAAAGGAAAGAAGGGACTAGGGAAAATGTATGACTTTCATGTTCATGCTCCCAGTAGCTTCCTTGCTCCTAAAGTTTCTGCCACTACCCAGGCAAGCAGGCATTCAGCACATGAGCTGGGAGAGGACATTTCATATTCAAAACATTATACTTGTGGTATTTGCTAAGTAACGTGCTCTATTGTGATAAGATCTTTTTAGAAAATTTATAGTTGTCAATCACAGTGCTAATTAAGATTGCAGTTTCTCGTTGCATTTTGAAACATAGTCTTACTGTGTAGTCCAGGCTTACCTCAAGCTCACTGTGTAATCCAGAACTTACACCCCTCCTGCTTTAGCCTCCTGAGTACTGGGAACATGGGCATGTACCATCAAATCCAGCTTAAATGTGCAGTTTTATAGTAACAGTTACTAATTCTTATGGTCCAGGTCACATGATTCTCATTCTAGTTTAGGTCTGAAACATAAGGGTTTTCAGTGCTTGATGAGAGAATTGACTTCTTTTCCTGTTCTTAAAATTGAGCAATTGGATGCCGACAGACATCTGGGAGGAAGGCATAGTAGCAGTTCCTAGGTAATATTTTGAAATCTTTCAGGATATTCCAGTCAACTTGCCAAATACCCATATTTTATATACAGTTGTGTAACACCTTTGAGAACTTTTTGATTCCTCGGTTTTATAGCTGAGAGTCCTTTTTTAAAAACCTCACAAGGGCATTCACTTTAAAAATAGAATGGAACCCTCTAAATGGAAGAAACATAAAAGCCACTCGGTGCTGTAAGGGTGACAATTTCTTTTTCCCAAATTGCATGTGCATCATTTTGTTTAAGCTAACTTGTACTTCTAGCTGAGCAAGTCCTAAGTTATTGTCATTCATGAGGCTTGCTGACTGGTACTGTTGGAATACCTTTTAGAGTTTTCCTATTTGTATCTTCCACTGTCTCTCTGTGGCCTTGGTAGTTCAATTGCTAATTTTAGTACAGTGTGTCCTCCCAGATATGTAGAGATTGCAAAGAGCAATTCCTGGAGCTTGTCAAGGGGACTAGTGGGTGAAACTATATACCTGGTGCACAAAAGCACGTGGCTTTTATGGTAAAGTGTGAGTATAGGCACATGACTATAAATAGATTGCTTGCCCAGTTATTTATCAAGTGATCCAATGAGGAAAACATTCACAAGGAGAATGAGGAGCTGGGTGTGTAGCTCAGTGGTAGAGAACATGTTTAGCTTGTACAAGGCTCTGTGTTCAGCCTTCAGCATGGCAAAAAAAAAATGCATGGTGAGACATATATATTTGTATTTTATGTCTTTTTTTACATTACCACAAAATAGCAAAAGAAGCTCATGCAGATTAGAAAGCAAGGATAGGGAGCAGGTCATGGTAGCACATTCCTAATCCTAGCACAATGAAGGCTGAGACAAATTGCAGTGTTGGAGGCCAGCCTAGGCTGTAGTGCAACAGGTTAGCCTGAAGTATTTAGTAAGGCTGTATCAAGCAAAAGAAAAACAGAAGGAGGTATAGCCCAGTGTCCAAACACTTCTCTAGCATGCTTGCCACCTGGGTTTTATCCATAGCAAGACCAAAATCCAAACGGAAACAAAACAGAACAGGAAAGGAAAAGACACAGTATTTGTTTGTGGTCCCCATTCCTTGCCGGGGCACTCGTCTTTTATCAGCACAGCCTTAGCTGGCGATGGCAGTGCTGTAGTGGGACTTGAGCTGTTGTTACAAACATGGGTGTACCTGTAGGAGCTGGGAGGCTCCTGGAGACATGGACATTAATGCTAAATGAAACTTAAACTGAATGAATACTGAGTTGAATGGGTCTGCCTGAGCTACACAGTGAGACCCCTTCCCCGCAACAAAACAAACCAACAACTGGGACAATGGCTCAGTGGGTTGGAACACTGACTGCAAAGATGAGGACCCAAGTTTGGATCTGCAGCACCTATGTAAACGCCAGGCAAGACCACACACACCTATAACTTCAGTGCCAGGGACTGAGGGGAGAAATAGATGCAACACTGGAGCTTACTGATTAGCTGGCATCGCTAAGAAAGCTGGGAGCCCCAGGTTCAGTGAGAGCTCTTGTCTCAAGAGAGCAGGCCTAGAGAGACCCAGCATCCTCCTCTGGCCTCCTCTGGTCTCTATGTGAGCAATGACAGACATGAATATTCATATGCACACACATGTATGTACTACACACACAGCCTTTCAAAAGATAGTTAATTAACTTTCAAGTAACGTTTTTAGATGAATTGGTGACATCTCAAAGGATTTAAAGCTTAAATTCGTGTTAAGATCTGCAAGACACCATATATACTAAAGATGCTGACACTTAGGTCTACAGGGAAGAAATTTTGTGAGTTACTCTGAATAATGAATCTGCATTCTGCTTTTACAGAAACTTCTGTCTCTTAATGCAGTTCCATTGGTCAACATCATATATCCATATTCTTAGAAATGGGGCCAGAGATAGGAATCATCTGTGTCCTGGTTTCTGTTGCTAAAGATGGCAGACTACTTAATAACAAAAGCAAGGAAACTTCTTTTGCTGTCAGTTAGAGAATGGCTCAAAGATCTGATAACTAGCAGATATGAGCCCATCTTTTTAAACTTTTCTTTATTTCCTATCCCATCCCACAAAGAGAAGGAAAAAATACATTTCATAGTCTTTAAAGTTTATGTGCTAGTTAGTAATCTTTAAAATCTGACATCTTTGAAGTATAAATTAAATTAGGACATTGAATGTGAACCCATTTAGGGTTTGTGTCCATTTGGGCATACTGTTGATTTCCTTTCTTCCCTAAAAAATTCCTGAAATCCCTGTCAACAGAATGTGGGGAACATTGCCACTACAAAGCTGGAATTACATCATTTTACATCTAGTATTTGTGAACATCAAGAGTTTGAGCATACTTCAGAAGTGAGCCCTATTTGGCACTTCAGTTGTTTTTTGTTTTTGTTTTTCATATTAAGAGCTCCCCTTCTGTTCCTCATCCAGCTGGGAATAAGAGTGTATGTGTCTACAGCACTTCAAAGCAAGCAAAAGTATTTTCAGGGACCCTAGCCCTGTGGTGAAGATTAAGTGCTACCCTGTTTTGCCTGTAAAAGGGAAAAATTCTCAAGTTTTCTTGCCCAGTGCATCATTGTTTGATATGATGCTTAATTTTAATATTTGGAGTTAGATTTATCATTTGAGTCTTCTCATTATATAGTCTAGACTGGCCTAAAATTCAGTATGTATCCCAGCCTAGTCTTGAACTTCAGATCCCCCTGTCTCGTGAGTTCTGGGTCTGCACTCTAGCTATCATTATTTTTAATGTTTTTGATTTGCTTTTTGAGACGAAATTCTACTCTGTATCCAAAGCGAGCCTTAAACTCACTATGTAGCCAACGATGACCTTGAGCTCCTGATGCTCCTACTTCTGCCTCGGAAATGTTGGACGCTCCTGTGTGTCACCATGCCTAGATGATTTTTTCTACAATTTTTTATTTGTTTATTTGTGTGAGGCCATACACACAGGGAGATCAGAGGACAACTTTCAGGAGTTAGGTCTGTTCTTTGAACTCAAGTCATCAGGCTTGGCAGCAAGTGCCCTTACCCACTGAGCCATATTGCCAGTACTCCTAGCTTTTTAAAAATATATATGTATATAATAGTATGAATCAGTTTACTTTCAATTCAGATGGTCCTGTGTCTAGTCTGAATTTTTTTTACTTTCCTATGATTGTCTGGCTTTTGGCCACTAGTAGAAGTAAGACTCGTTATCATTGGCACTCTCATTAGATATTATATGAGAAAATAAGAAACTCAAATTGGACTGTACTCTGTTGCTTTTAGAAGCGCTGGTGTAAGATGAGATGGTGACCCACAAGAGTTACTTTCACACAGTGATCTCTGTGGGTTGCACAGTTACACAAGTCCTGTTCTACATGGATCTAATGATTGGCCGATATGACCTGTGGCTTCTGCTTCCATGACCATGTGACCAGATTAACTAGAACAGAAACCAGGTCTTAGTTCAGTGGCAATGAACTAAGTTAAGCTTTACTAAGTTGTGAAGCTAAATTGTGGTGGAGACAAAATGTAGCTGTGCCATTTTTCCAATAGTGAGAAAAATTAGAGACTTTTATGTGTAGTATAGTATAGTGTAGTGTAGTATAGTAAAGAAGATATTTTGAAATGTTCAATTTTTTCTAATTGGTAATGTCTCTGTCATCTTTTTCTCTTAAGTAATCAACAAATTAGAAAAACATTGTACTACACAGTCTTATTTTGTATTTTGGAATAAATACCAGTGTCACCTAAGCAAACAGGTCTTGTTACAGATGAACTCTTCTAATCCTGAGCTCACTGTCATTCTGGTGCTTGCAATAAAGAATTCTTTATTTATCTTCAGATTATCTGCATGGTGGCCAAATGTTAATCTAAGCCTCTTTCTTCATGCCAAACGGCATAGAGCATGCCCTTGTGCTGCCCAGCCAATATGTGCTTTAGGAAAGTCAATTCATTTTAATATTAGTCTAGGCAAAATGCTACAGAGGAAAATTCACATATGTTCCAAAGGCAAATAGAAAGGTCCTTTTGATTTTCCAATGTCTTGGATTATCTGTGTAACTTTTTTTCAGTTGTTGAATAATTCATATTTTTGGACCATTTTGCCATGTGGTTGAACAAATATCAGAGCCAACTAAGTTTTCCAGACTTCTTCCTTAAAAGTGGTATTATTAATGATGCATTTGACAGCGGTGTACATAGTGTAGGAGCAATGTGGAATATACTGTTTCCATTTTTTATTTTTACTTCCAAAGCCTATTTGTAATCTGTCTCCACCTAAAAGCAACCTTCAGGCAATAGAAAGATGACAGAGGGGACTGTGGTGTAGCTCCAGTGGTAACGTGTTGCCCAGTGGTAATGTGTGAGGCCCTGGGTCCCATCCCTAAATGACATTTTAAACAATAGGCCTAAAAAGGCAGAAGAGAAAAAGTTGCCCTTCGTGGGAATGGTATAGGCCTGAGATTTACAAATAAACTAAACACTTCTTTATAATGGAAATATATCATCTTGGAAACTTACAAGAATAATATTAAAGACAGTGTTTCGATTGCTTATTTTAGAACAAAACAGGGTTTTCCAAAGACGCTAGTGACAGACTAGAACCCATATTTCCTTGAGTCATAATCCCTTCTCTAATTACGTTTTTCTTCCCTTTCAAGAAATAAAAAATATCTGTGTAAACTTGCACTGCTGGACTATTCCAGCTTGGCTCTCACTGTGTTCTTTGACTCTCTACTGTCTCCGCACTTGTCTGCTTTTAATTCCCAGAAGGGTCCTTGCTTCTTCCTACACCTTCCCAAATTAATGTCTAGTCATCCTTCCCATCAAAACCCAAACCTCACCTCTGAGAATCCTTTCACACTTCCTCCAGGTTAGATCAGGTTGCCCATGTGTCAGACTCTCACAGCCCCCCTTCCTTCTCTCTGTTACTCACATCGCCGAGTGTAATTATTTTTTATGAGCCTGATCATTTCAGTCCCTGTCTCCTCCACTATCCTGTATATTCAGTGAGGCTCAGGACCTTGTCTGTCCTTCAAGGAGCTACATACTTTCTACACTTGGCAGGCACTTGGTAAATATTAGAATAAGTGAATGAGTAAGTTCAAGGCAAATAGAGAGCGTAGATCCATGCCCCCTGGGAACTGAAGCAAGAAAGGTGGCATGATGTTCTCGGCTCCATGTAAAGTACGAAGAAGCCAGGCTCAGGCGGGCCAAATTCAGTTCTGGGAACACTGAGCATCTGGGCTGGGTGGGAAGCATCTTCCTGTGCTGGCTTATGGAGACGTTTGGTGTCCGAATCAGTTTCAGTGGCAGGGTGAAAACAGGCCAGTTGTTTGGATTAAAGAGACGTGACGGGGACCATGAGGAGAGAGAGTTTTAGAAACTTAACTGAAGGATGGAAGGAGTCTTTTACACATAGCAGGGAGACCTTTGGGTCTGAGAGGAACCAGTATAAAGAATTCATAAAATGAGAAGAATAGGAAAGACGTAATTAGAGGAGGAAATCATTTTTAAAATATTTGCATTGAAGCCTCTTGGGAGTGGGCAAACCCAAGCAGTCAGTTTTAGGACAGTTGGAAGACTTTCCTCAAGAGTAGAAGTAGGATGTCTGCAGACACACTTAAGCTAGTTTGTGAATAGGTACCTTAGTAAACCTTAGTTTTCCTTCCTCTAAGGCTCTGGAAAAGTAAGAAGATAAATATAACAGCAGTATTTTAGGCAGGAGATCAGGAATCCCCCTTCACAATAACCATGGCATGTCAAGAGGAACACTTACCATATGCTACATAGTCAGGTGCCTCCAGGGGGATGATCAGATTATATAGACCATCGCGAGTCTTCCTCCGGCTTTCCGTGGTTTTATAAATTTCACAGGTCCCTCAACATAGAACATTATGCATTTCATCGCTGTGGCCTTTATGCTTCTTATTATTTACCAATGCTGTACTGATGTGTGTGTCCTTGAAGTCATATCATTGCATGTTATGTTGACCCTGATACATGCATTCGCTTACAATTCTTTTTGCTTTGTCCTCAGTTCAGATATTTTGGATGGCAGTAGTATCAGCAGTGGCTTGTCCTCAGACTCACTGGCTACAGGCAGCGCTCCCGCAGAGTCTCCAGTAGCATGCTCCAATTCATGCTCTTCGTTCATCTTGATGGATGATCTCTCACCCAAGTGACTTAACCATTTCTGATTCAGTGTTTTAACTATTTCCCACATAAAACATTCAGTGAGGAATGCAGAGAACTTTGATCCGCAGTGGGGATTAAAGTTCGGCAGATTGCAGCCATTCCGATGCGCCCACTTCTGGGCATCTCTGTCTTCAAAAGTTCAATTTGGCAAGCCTAGTCACCCTACTAACATCTGTTTTGGCTGATCTCATTTTGCGTTTGATGACTAAATCGCAATACAGTTTTGATTGCTCGGAGAATTTCTTCTCAGTGCCTCAAAGAGCACCTACTTTCAAGCATTTAAGGGGGCACTGATGTGTATCTTCCGTGATTGTCCTTTCCCTAGCAGTAACATAACAGAGGTGATCAGAAATTCTCTTGCTTGAGAGATTTATAAAAATTACTGTTGACTACATTCTTTCCCATCTCTTTATTTCATAGCGATATTTAAATTGCTTTGGATTACATCAAATTTTCATTTCTCTGCATCAGCTTTAAGTACATTCTTTTGTTTTCCTTTTCTGTCTGAGCTGCTGATTTGCCATTTCTCACAGAGGGGAGGACACCCATAGTCGCGTCCATCAACTCCCCTCATTGCTTTGCTGTTGGGTGTGTGCAGTGAAGACTGGTCTTAGAGTGGAGACTGACATGGGCTTAAGGGGGCCTGCAGCAGTCACCTCAGCTTCTTAGGACTTGGCCACCACAGTTGCTGTGTGAATCCCTGAGGAATCTATAAAATATTGTTGATATTTCTAGGTGGTGTTATCAAGGAGAAGAAATTCCTGCCTTGACCAGATGTGTGGAGCATCTCCAAATGAACGAGTAGTTATTTACACAAACCACTGTCCAAACGTAAGCGTCCAGGAAGCTGTCAGTGTCTCGGGTAGTATGGCGAGGCCTTGGGTGCCATGCTGTAGGGACGTGTATCATAAGGTCTTGTGGCAAGTGGAAGCTTTCTCTGTGTCAGTGCTACCTTCCGTTTGTCTTGGCCGTTTCCTTTTCGTCACTGCGTGTGTTTTGTCACGTGACTGGTGGGTTCTTTGGTTACCGTGTTGTGCTAGAGTCAGAGCCCAGGTCTTGTTCTTGTTTCCTATAGTGAGCAGCTTAATATCTGTAAGGAAGCTTTGAGGTACTGAAAGGGCCAATGCTCCCGTGCCCTCTGCTTCCACAAGCTTTTTGAGCTCTAAGCAGTATATATGCAGTGTGACGTGACATATGCTCTGTCATTTTTACAAGAGGAAACTCCAACTAAGATATTTAAGAAATCCAAGTGTGAGCTATTGTGACGTTATTTAATATTTATTACCCTACGTACAGTATCCGTGCTGTTAGATTTCTTTCCATGTTCAACATGGTGGGTGACAGTGTTTGGTATCCACATTTACCTGCTAGAATTGTGGTATTCTATTTCTAAGTGAGTGGAAAAAGCAAACAGAAAATGATTACACTTAAGTCCTTTGAAATCTAAAATCCTTAGAGGTGGTTTGAAGGAATTCCCAGACCAGAAATTAGTGTGCTTGATGCAAAACCTCTCTTCTGATGGTTAGAGAACATCACTCAGCTTGCAGCGGTCCATTAGAGAATCAGATCTGTTCTTCAGTTTACATTCTAATCACCGTCATAACGGCTGTTAACAGCTTTCCTTCCCATGTTGCTTTAGCCCGTGAAAAGCTCATAATCCTTCAGACCTAACATCAATGTGCTGTTCTAAGAATCGCCCCTTGTGTGCCATTGTGAAGAAACGTTTCTTGGATGGCACTTGGTATATCCATTCCGTTAATGAACCATATTCCAAGGCTTTTGCCTTCATAATGATAAGAGATGGCTTTGTCTTTCAGGACATTTGTCATGTTCCCTCTTCTATCTTACTTCCTTAAAGGGGAACTTTTGAGTTCAAATTTAGGGTACAAATTTAGGACTGTTAAGAAATAACCTTATGTTAAAAATTCAGTGGTGAGGTAAAGCTGGAGCAGAGAACTGGAATTGTCCCAGTGGTTTGATGAGATCAAAGAGGCAGGGGCTTCACTTTCCTTTTTTAAGCCAACTCTTTTATTAATGAATTTAATTCAATGTTTTCAATTTTCTCTGTCAATTTCATACATGTATGTACTTCATTCTTATTGCTCTCCCTCCCCACCCTCTCATCTCACTCCCGCCCGTCAATCCCCGCGTCTCTCTACAAATTCCTTTGCCACATTTTTGTCTTTTCCTTTGTAAACTAATCTTTTGTTATTGTTGTCCTCTGTGTTTAAACGAACCAGAAAGCTAAGTTTGTGCAGGGATTGTTTTGAAATACTAGACAGGCAATTCGCAGAGAAACTTTGTTGACAGTACCCCTTTATTTTTATATAAAGTCTAATATTTGCAGTGTAGTTATTGTTATAAAGTAAAATTCTTTCTTCCTATTCTCATATTATATCATATATTTTAAGCTTCTATTTGAAAACTAGTACAAGAAATGAAACCATAATAAAATCCTATAGATACTGGTTTTGCTTGACTGACTTATAAATCACTGTTTTATGATACCTGCTTTTGGAATAATAGAAAGTTTTGTGAAATGTTTACCCAGTGTATATCTTAAGAATGTGAATTTAATAAAGCATAATACATGTATAAAAAGACAGTAGTTTGCAAGTCTGCCTCTCTTATTCCTGTTGATAATTATTTTCCGTCGTCATACCCCAGGAGCTTTTTCTGTTTCCAGGAGTAGGTCAGGTTCTGAGGAAAGGGCTGTTCTGCAGAGGAGAACTAATGGATAGCTATGTTCAAGTTCACGCTGGCTGGCCCAGCAGAGAAGCAATCTGTCCACATGATCTGTCAGCTCTTCAGGGGTATTTTGTTGTGTTTAACTGTTTAGATGCCTTTTACCATAGTCACAGATTTCTTGTTTGCTTTCAGTTTATCTTTTTTTAAAACCTATTTATAAACGTCTATAAAATTAAGACTTTAGTTCATGACTCACATTATAAACACTTTTTTTTACTTTCATTATTTTTTTAAAAAATGGACTACTTACTTTTAAAAGACTTTACATTTTGAAATTGTTTTTTAAGTCCAGAGAAACTGTAAGAACACCCAGAGATATTCATCTCAGTTCCCGGTTTTTAACATTTTAACATTGAACCACACTTGTTTTACCACTCTTTCTAAATGATGCCTCCTCAACCTTTGCGTGTGCGTGTGTGCACGTGTGTGTGTGTGTGTGTGTGTGTGTGTAATTTCTGAGCCATGCAGGAATAAGTTCCTGTGTTTCTTAAATAAAAAAAAAAGATATCTTTACATGGATGTGTGTATGTACACCAAATGTGTGTGGGTGCCTGCAGAGGCCAGAGAAAAACATTGAATCCCCTGGAACTGGAGTTATAAGCTGGCAACAAAACGTGGGTCCTTTAGAAGAACAGTAAGTACTCTTACTGCTCAGTCATCTCTCCTGCCCTTGCTATGTCCTTTTGCCCTATGCTGGTTTGGAGTTTTGTTTTTAACTCTTGGTTACAAGGTATCCCAGATTCATAGTTGCCTTGTCCTAGGGGATCAGCCATTTCTCCAAGGAGCTCTGATTCAGTTAGAGAATGATGGTAAAATCTAAGTAAGGGCACCGGGTATCACGGTTGCCACCAGGACATAATTGTTCCGAGGCCTTAGGACACAGAGAATGCATATGTACGCCACATAAGCAGACATGTCTATCTGTCTAATCGAAATCATGCATTCTGTCATGCACACTTGAAATAGCAGCATTCAAGAGACTAAGGCAGGAGTATTTTGAGTTCCAGGCCAGTCTAGGCTATTTAGACCTTGTCTCAATAAAAGAAAAACCGTAAGTTCATACTAGTACCCCTGATTTCAGTTCACCATCAGGAGTCATTCCAGGGCCCTCACTAAACATTTGGAACTCTATTTCCTGGCAGTTAGACCCCTGATTCTTTTATCCCCCCAAATGGTTTACTCCTTTCTGCTATATGTAGCCCGTTTCCAACCTTGCCAGCCACCACTTGGACTTCTTCAGGAAGAACGCTCTCCTAGGACTAACCCTTCGTGGCTCCTTACATTGCTGTCCCTACAGAAGGAAGAAAAAAAAAGGGGGTCTGAAACAACACAAAGCAAAAACTCATTTGAAATTCTGGTAATTAACTCATATACCTACAAGTTTCTTTTTTTTAAATTTATTAAAGATTTCCGTCTTTTCCCCACCGCCGCCTCCCCTTTCCCTCCCCCTCTCCCAATCAAGTCCCCCTCCCTCGTCAGCCCAAAGAGCAATCAGGGTTCTCTGCCCTGTGGGAAGTCCAAGGACCACCCTCCTCCATCCAGGTCTAGTAAGGTGAGCATCCAAACTGCCTAGGCTCTCACAAAGCCAATAGGTGCAGTAGGATCAAAAACCCATTGCCATTGTTCTTGAGGTCTCAGTAGTCCTCATGGTCCGCTATGTTCAGCGAGACTGGTTTTTAACCCAGGCTTTTTCAGACCCAGGCCAGCTGGCCTTGGTGAGTCCCAATAGAACATCCCCATTGTCTCAGTGTGTGGGTGCACCCCTCGCGGTCCTGAGTTCCTTGCTCGTGCTCGCTCTCCTTCTGCTCCTGATTCGGACCTTGAGATTTCTGTCCGGTGCTCCAATGTGGGTCTCTGTCTCCTTTCATCACCTGATGAAGGTTAATATTCAGGAGGATGACTATATGTTTTTCTTTGGATTCTCCTTCTTATTTAGCTTCTCTAAGAACCCGAATTATAGGCTCAATGTCCTTTATTTATGGCTAGAAACCAAATATGAGTGAGTACATCCCATGTTCCTCTTTTTGGGTCTGGCTTACCTCACTCAGGATAGTGTTTTCTATTTCCATCCATTTGCCTGCAAACTTCAAGAAGTCCTTGTTTTTTACTGCTGAGTAGTACTCTAATATGTATATATTCCATACTTTCTTCATCCATTCTTCAATTGAAGGGCATCTAGGTTGTTTCCAGGTTCTGGCTATTACAAACAATGCTGCTATGAACATAGTAGAGCATATATTTCTGTTGTATGATAAGGCCTCTCTTGGGTATATTCCCAAGAGTGGTATTGCTGGGTCCAGGGGTAGGTTGATGCCGAATTTTCTGAGAGACTGCCACACTGCTTTCCAGAGTGGTAGCACAAGGTTGCATTCCCACCAGCAATGGATGAGTGTACCCCTTTCTCCACAACCTCTCCAGCAAAGGCTATCATTGGTGTTTTTGATTTTAGCCATTCTGACAGGTGTAAGATGGTATCTTAAAGTTGTCTTGATTTGCATTTCCCTGATCGCTAAGGAAGTTGAGCATGCCCTTAGGTGTCTTTTGGCCATTTGAACTTCTTCTGTTGAGAGATCTCTGTTCAGCTCAGTGCCCCATTTTATAATTGGGTTGATTAGCCTTTTACAGTCTAGTTTCTTGAGTTCTTTATATATTTTGGAGATCAGACCTTTGTCAGTTGCAGGGTTGGTGAAGATTTTCTCCCAGTCAGTGGGTTGCCTTTCTGTCTTAGCGACAGTGTCCTTTGCTTTACAGAAGCTTCTCAGTCTCAGGAGGTCCCATTTATTCAATGTGGCCCTTACTGTCTGTGCTGCTGAGTTTATACGTAGGAAGTGATCTCCTGAGCCCACTTGTTGTAGAGTACTTCCCACTTTCTCTTCTATCAGGTTCAGTGTGTTCAGACTGATATTGAGGTCTTTAATCCACTTGGACTTGAGTTTCCTACAAGTTTCTTTTATGTCTGATTGTTTACAACTCAATTTTTTTTTCCTGTGGTTTGTTAGTTTCTTTTGAGACAGATTTCTTTCTGGCCATGGATCCCAGGCTGGCTTAGAATAGATATCCTCCTTTCTCAGCCTCCCAAGTGCTGGGATTACAGGTTTGTGCCACCAGGCCTAAAGTAGATCTTATCTTTAAAAGGGGGGGTAATTAGGTGAGTTGACCCATAAAATGCAAACACCATGGTTCCGGAAGGCATCTCAGAAGGTGGGCAGAAGGCTGGAGCTGAATCTTCCATCTCCTGCTCCCCCAATTGATGTATCCCAGTGGTTTGAGGCTGAATCAGGTAGATGGAGCTAGACACAGGCTGAACAACGCTCCATTACAAAGATGTAATAATTCTATAATGCTTAAGGAGGCTGGAGAGGGACTGGCTTTGTGTGTTTAGGATCTGGGAGTGTAGCTTAAGATGTAGGTGGAAGCTGTGTGTGCAGACCTCAGCAGGGAAGGTCATAAGGAGAAGGGGGGGGGGCGGGAGGGATCCTGCCAATCATCAACATTTAGGCGTCTGGTTAAAGAAAAGAGAAGGTGGCAGGGAGGTAGGAGAAAAATCTGCAGCCGACTGCTTCTGTGAAGCAGAGGAGGGAGTGACTCACAAGGTCAATTAACAAGTGGCCTGATAACTTCCCACTGTATCTGATCCTTTGGAAGTCCCTAAGACATTTTGGCCGCTGTGCTTTTGGTCGCAGTTTAAAGAGATGCCCCCGGGACATGGACCCTGTGTGGCTAGTTGGTCCGATGTCTTCTAATCCCATCCTTCTCACCTTTCTCGATCTGTGATTGATTCCAATTTGTTCCCCCTTCTTATCCTGTGTCCTAAGCAGTCAATGCTGTAGCTGAAAAAGAATAGTCACTCAATAAAATTGTGCTGGCTGACACTCCCACACTCCAACCTATAGAGGGAGCTGAAGGAATGGCACTCACACTGATAGGCGGGGCTAAAGGAAAATCACAGGGGAATGGTAACCTATAGGAGAAGCTGACACAGAATCTCCAGGAAAGTATTTCCCAGACATTATAAACCCTAGGAGGAGCATTGGTGGCCCGCCTTCCAGACATCTCTGAGGAGGACTTGCACGAGGAGTCTTTGTCAAGGAGTTCCATCTTAGGTAATATTTATTAATAGTCTCTTTCTCTCTCTGGTACGTGATACTGATTTTCCATTTACGTGAATGATACGGTTTTCTATTGGAATAAATGTAGAAAATAAGATTTCTAAAGACCTGTGTTTTAAAAATTAACAGCAAAGAAAAAGCTGATCTAGAGAAACGTGTTAGGGACGCAATGGTTCTAAGCAATATTCAGATATGGTCCAAATCATAGGGATAAATAGACATAAAAACTTTGATACAGGAACCCAATGGGTCATGCTGGCATGTAGAAATGTGAGGAGCTGTTTAACCTGTGTGGAATGCTCTTTTGGAGGGTATTTTTTGGATTTCCTTTGGGGGATTCTGCTCTTTCCTCTGTAAAGTGTGGTAAGAAAGGACTGGTTGCCTCACCTTTAACTTCTTGGAAAACAACCCCATCTTGTCTTCAAGGACAAGAGGTAACTTGCAGGAGGCTTAGGGGATAGGGGCCTAAAAGCCCTTCAGGGCTTTGCTTGCTTATCTCTCTGATTAAAGGAGAGCTAAGGTCAGAATGCATTCTGCAGAGAAAGAAAATTCTGGTCAAGTTCCTGAGGCCTGGTGCTTTGAGCCCCCAAATGTTCAGGCTAACTCCTCTGATGACTACACTGAAATCTAAGTGGGGTGAATCTGTCTTCTGGGCTCCTCTCCCTTTGGGGCCTGGGGAGTTCTGGAAAGAGAGGGGACTGTGTTTGCAGGTGAAGGGTCAAGAAGTGTAGGATTTCTGC